CAGGCCAAATAGAAGAGCAGAATGGGTATGTGCGGGACTTAACACTTCTGCGTCTTTTAAGTACTTGATGGTGGCACTAAGCTTCTGAAAGCCCTCCAAGAATATAGTACAGTCACACATTGATTAATGCAATGTTGCAGTCAATGATGGATTGCATAGACATTGGTCCAAGCAGCTGTGCCCTCTAACTTGGGTGTGTAATAAGCTGTACCGTCTTGGTTTGTGTAATTACACTCTATGACATTTGTACAGCGATGAACTCGCAGAAGGACTCATTTCTCAGAATGTCCCTGTTGTTAAGTGACTGTTATATTACTTTTGGCTTACCACTTTCTGAGACAGTTGTCATAGTTTCCACTTGGTTGTTCCTACCACAGCAGCACTCACTCCACAGGTAGGAGACCAATGAAGAATTCTGCCAGTTGCTGCATGTATCTATTCCAATAGATATAGAACTGAGGAAATAACCACAGGATGGGTTGGGGGACTCATTAGACTCCCTATGAAATGGCCTTGAGCTGAAACTCCATTGATTATCTGACTTCCATGAGCCCCTACTCTGACCAAAGGGCCACAGTGATATCTTGGTGTTAATTCAGAACTCATGTTCAGAAATCCCTGAAAGGGGCCTCCCTGGTGGCACAAGGGGTTAAGCACAGCACTGTGAAGCAATCTGCAGCCTCTGTAACACACGTTTGATCCCCAGCTAGCCAGGTTGCTACTCATATGGCAAAGCAGACCTCTCCTGACTTGCCCACTGCTCCCCTCAGCAGTGTATTTCATTCAGTCTGCCTGTTCTGTTCCCCACTCTGTCTCTGGTGAATCCTCTCCACCCCCTGTACCTGTGGCCTGTACCCCAGTTCTTGTATGCATAAATAAATAAATCTTTATATATAAAAAAGAAATCCCTAAAAGGTTTGATTATTTCTTTTTCCTCACATGTGCAGTTATCCTGGTAAAGGGTTGTATGTCTCATGGGAGAAGGCCAGGAGAAAGATTAACATATAAATTTTCACTTGTATAGGAGGGTCCTTCCTCAAGGTTGCCCAGCCCCCTCTTAAGGTGTTATGGGTCTCTTTGCAACAGACTATTCTGATTGCTGCTTTGGCTCTGCTGTGCATTATGGTAACTATGCCCACTTTGCCTTTGGTAGTTGAGTGCTGCTGGTTGGCTGCTGAAATCCAGGCTTCAATTACTCCCTTTGCATTAGATTTCCCATTCACTGACTGCAGTTACCACCATAAGATCTGACCTATAGACAATAACAACCATAGAGCTTCAGTGAGGCTGGGGCTCCCCTCAAATTTATTTCTCACATTTGTGGTAAAAGCTATGTCCTCTTTTTTTTTTTAAAATAATAAATTTTATTTTTATATTCCCCCATACAATTGCAAACGCCCCATTCTGACCCCAATCCTTCCCCTCCCGCCCCCCACCCCCCAAAAAGTGTCTCTGGTTCATAAAAGCTATATCCTCTTAACCTTCCCAGAGTGGCCAAGTAGGTATTAAATGACAAATCCATTTTAAAATTTCTGCCTCCCTATGTCTTTGACTCCCTTCTCCTATAGTTAACTATAGTTAATGCTGAAACCATAACTACTGTTTACTTCTCTTTTCATCACATTTTGCTTCCTTTATTTGGAGGTTAAGTACATGTTTATGACTTTCTGATAGACTAAACCTTTTATCATTACATAATGCTTTTTGTTTCAAGTAACAATTTTACTGTTAAAGCCCATTTTGCCTGATATTAGTATAGCAAATTCAGCTCTCTTTTGGCTATTGTTAGCATGGAAAACTTTTTTCTATCCATTTACTTTTTTTTTTTTTTAAAGATTTATTTATTTATTTATTTATTTATTTATTTATTTATTTATTTTTATTTATACAAGCATTGGGTACAGTCAGAAGCACAGGAGGGTGAGAGAATTCACCAGAGCCAGAGCCGGGAGCAGAGCAGGCAGAAGGACCAAAGTACACTGCTGAGGGGAGCAGCGGGTGGCAGGAGAGGTCTACGAGGTCTGCGCACCATGCGGGACCCACCTCCGGTGGCCAGGGAGCAGCCGGGGATCGAACCGGCGCTGCAGAGGCCACGGGCAGCTTCGCAACCCAGTGCTCAACCACTGCGCCACCGGGGAGGCCCTACTTTTTTTTTTTTTTTTAAGATTTATTTATTTTTTTAGGCAAGCACTGGGCTACAGGCCAGAGGTGCGGAAGGGTGAGAGAATCCACCAGAGACAGAGCAGGGAGTAGAACAGGCAGAAGGACTGAAATACACTACTGAGGGGAGCAGCGGGAGGGACAGAGGTCTGCCACGCCATGTGGAAATCTCTGTGGCCAGCCATGAATCGAACTGGCGATGCGGAGCTGCGGACAGCCTCACAGCGCTGCGCTCAACCCACTGCACCACTGGGGAGGCCCTATCCATTTACTTTCAACCTATTTAGTCTTTTTTTTTAAAGATTTATTTATTTATTTGTACAAGCACTGGGTACAGTCAGAAGCGCGGGAGGGTGAGAGAATTCACCAGAGCCAGAGCGGGTAACAGCAGTGACGAAAGACACTGCTGAGGGGAGCAGCCGGCGCTGCAGGAGAGGTCTGTCGCACCATGTGGGACCCTCACCAGCGGCCAGGGATTGAACTGGCACTGCAGAGGCTGCGGGCAGCCCAGCGCTCAACCGCTGCGCCACCAGGGGAGGCCCCTATTTAGTCTTTGAATCTAAGAAGGTGAGTCTCTTGTAGACAGCATATAATTGGATCGTGTTGTCTTAGAATTCATTCTAACAATCTGCCTTTGAAGTACAGTTTAATCCATTTACATTTAATGTATTAATATTTATCTTTGCATTTGTTTTCTATATACATTATGTCTTTAAAAGAAATTCCTTCATTACTGACTTATTGTGTGTTTAATGGGTGTTTTAGTGTGCCATCCACAATGTCATTTTGCAAATTTGAGTGTCTGTAGGAAATAAAATATCCTTGGAAGTGGAATTACTTGGTCAAAGGCAGGTGGGGTGTTGCACTTAAAACTCTGATAAGTTTTACCAGATTGATTTTAAATGCTTTTAACAACTAAATCGGGTGTTTTCCAAAGAGGGATTTGCATTTTATTGACACCATCCATTGGTTTATGTCTTTCTGGAGAGGGGGACCTAATAATTTTTTCGTCATGGTTTAATACACAGCAGGCCAAAAAAGATGTAAAGAAGGAAAAAGGAAATGGTTGTGACATTATGACAGGAATATTGGAAAATGAGGAACTATGCAGGATCAGGAACTATTTGAACAGATGTGCAAACCAGGATTCCTGTGAACTAAGTATTTAGAGTTCTAGAATCTTGGGAGAGAAAGGAAAGTGTGTGTGTGTGTTTGGGGGAGGGTAGTGTTCTTCAAGGAGGTAAAAAAAAAAAAAAAAAAAAAGGAAGGTAAGGCAGAGAGTTAGGAGATTTTTCCCACAGGAAGACCATGTGATGAACAAAACCAACCCTTATCCACCCAGAACTTTCCTTTATAAATGCTTACTAATTATAGGAGTAAATAGCTCATTTATTCCTCATTCCATTTTTTTTAAGATTTATTTATTTATTTATACAAGAGCTGGGGTACAGGCCAGAGGTGCGGGAGGGTGAGAGGATTCACCAGAGACAGAGTGGGGAACGAAACAGGCAGATGGACGGAAGACACTGCTGAGGGGAGCAGCGGGGGAGGCAGGAGAGGTCTGCCGTGCCATGTGGGTATCTCCGTGGCCGGCGGGGATCGAACCAGCGCTGTAGATGCTACGGACAGCTTCACAGCACTTGCTCAACCGCCAGCGCCACAGGGAGGCCCACCGTATTCCATCTTAATGGTTAACTATTTTCCTTTCCCGACTGAGGAAACCTAAGGTTCAGAGAGGTTAAATCATTTGCACAAGTCACAGAGCCAGCGTCCAGAGAAGTGCTCCCAGTCGCTTTGCTCTGCACAGGAATAGCTTGTCCAGCGCATCGCTTATTTGCGCTTCGCAGATAACGTGTTTTTCACAAGGTGAAAGTATGCAGTAATCCGCATTAAGTTCGTCTATAGGCACCATTTTTCCAACAGCATGTACTCACCTGGTGTCGGTTCACATTTAACTAAGGTATGTACATTTTGCTTTAGACCTAAAGCCATTTTACACCTTATACAGACTACCGCATAGTGTGAACAACTTTCACATGCACTAGGACACCAAAATATTTAAGTGGCCGGCTCGACGCTTGCCTGCGGTGGTCTGGAACCAAACCTGCAGTATCACCGGTGTGTGCCAGCACACCTCTGAATGTTATTGCTAAGCAGCAACCACCACCTCGGCGCCAGGCTCCGTGCTCGGGGCTGTCCCCTTGCATTTATTCAAACAACCCCCTGAGCACCTACTGAGGGGAAACTGGCGCCCGAGAAGCTTCTCCGCCAGCGAGGGGGGCACATCCCGAGGAGGGTCTCTAGCCACGAGTCCGAAACACCTACGGAAGGCGTTCACACGCTTAGTAACGCCGAGGCTCCGAGCCGCCCCAACCGGCACACCCGGAGGTGTCCGCACCGCCCGCGCCCGGGCGCCGGTGAGCAGCGGTTGGGCGAAACCATGTCCTCGAGCGGCCGCCGCGCCGGCGGTTAGTAGCGCCGCCCCCGCGCGTGCGCATTGCGCGCCCAGCCGTCTCACCCGGGCTCCCCGCGTCCGGGCGCGGTTGGGGGCGTCGGCAGGGCGCGCGCGCGCCTGCGTCGCATCGGGCTCGCGCACGCGCACCTGCGCCGGCGTCGGTCGCGCACGCGCACGACAGCGTCGGCGGCGGCGGTTCCTGCCGGGGGCTTCGAGCGGCAGGCTTAGGACGGCGCGAGGGGCCAGCCGGGCGCGGCGGCCACGTAGGGGTCCGAGGGGCGCGCGGGGCTGCTGGCTCGCTCGCGGCGGGCGTTTCGGGCGGGCGCGGCGCGTGGCAGCGGCGACCCGGAGCTGCGGCCTAGGCTCCGGCGCAGCGGCGGACTCGAGTACAGTGGCCTGCGGGCGGCGGGCGGCGGCGGCGGCAGCATGAGCGTGGAGGCGTACGGGCCCAGCTCGCAGACGCTCACCTTCCTGGACACCGAGGAGGCCGAGCTGCTCGGCGCGGACACGCAGGGCTCCGAGTTCGAGTTCACCGACTTCACCCTCCCCAGCCAGACGCAGACGCCCCCCGGCGGCCCGGGCGGGCCGGGAGCTGGCGGCGCGGGCGGCCCTAGTGGCGCCGGCGCGGGCGCTGCGGCCGGACAGCTCGACGCGCAGGTGAGCGGCACATGGCGGCGCCGGAAGCCGATGGGCCCCCACTCTCACCCGTCCGGGACTTGCCCGGCCCCCCCACTCCAGCCGGGAACCTGCCTGGACTCCCACTCCCCTACTTCCCCACTCCGGCAGGGCCGGGACACTTGCCTAGTTACACCTCTCTGACTGGCAACCGTTCCCGGGACTCCCACACAGGCGGGCCCGGGGGCCTGCCCCGGGTCTCGGATTCTGACCCGGCAACCTACCCGGCTTCCCTTTCGGCCGCACTCGGAGTGATCAGCCCTGGCTCCCCAACTCTGGCCGGGTCTGTAGTTATCTGTCCCAACTCTCCGATTCAGATGGTTCAAACCGACCCTTCCTGGCTCCCTACTTCGGCAGGGCCTACGCTGACCGGGCCTGACTCCCCCGCTCCCGCCAGTCGGGGACTAACCTGCCTTGGGTCCCCCATTCCAGCGCGGTCCAGAAGAACCTGTTCTGGTTTCCGCTTTCTGGCCCACCCTAGGCAGACCTGCTCCTGGTCCTGCTCTCGTTGCGTCTGGGTGACCTGTTCTGACTAGGGGACTTAAGTCTAGTTCTGTCTGTCCGAGGTTTGTCTCAGCCAGGTGTGTGCGTGTTTGGTGGGGTGGGGGTGAACTGCCCAGAGTTCCCCTTCACCTGAGTCTGCCCTGCTCAAGGTCCAGGGATGATCTGCCCGGTCCTCTTCTAACAGATCTGGCTGTACTACCCCAACTCCCTACCTGTGGTGGCAGCCATCTGGGCAACCTACCCCCTTCCCTCCAACCTACCTGCGTGTTCAAATTTTCCTGGGGCACAGAGATGCTGGCCAGTGGAGGGGTCCAAGGTCCTGGAGGAAAATCAGAATTTTGTCTACAGTTGAGAACCCCACAATCCCTAGCTATTAAGATGATTCGGAAGTCAGGTTGTATTTTGTTTTTCCTCCTTGCGTTGCCTGTTGCTTAAACTGACTTGTTATGTAACCCACAGCCCTGCCTTGGGAAAGTTGGATTTGAGTCTGCCCACTAATGGGGCAGTGAGAGTGGCTGTTGTGAAAATGGGTCTCCCATGCTGTAAACTTTTATTTTTAATGTGAACATTTAACGGAGGTTATTTGGGTATTTTAAGTTTGAGTTTGAGTTGTGAGAAGTGTGCACACACTGGGTACCTGTCCCAGGTGGGGGGCGGCCCCAGGGGATGTCTCCATCATCTTCTGGGTCTCAGATTGCAGTGCAACCAAATTTCCCTGTACTTGGCACCTCCCTCCTGTTTATTTTCCTGAATTTTCAGCCACTGAGGAGCTGTAGGCTCACCTTGTCTCAGGTGTCCCCTGGCATGAGGACCCATTACCAGGACTGGGAGAGCCAACCCATCCTCAGCCAGAGTGAGCTCAGACCCTGTCCTGGGGGAGGGGGCTTCCTTTCTGGTCGTTGAGTCACTCCCGTGGGTAGACCACCCACTTGGACTTTCTTTCAGCCCCTAATAGAAGCAGAAAACATTTGACTCATCTAACCCCAGATTCTGTAAAAATAGAAACCTGATGGGTGGAGCGCTGGGAGAACAGGTGTGCAGGGTTTTCATTTTTTGTTTACCTGTGGTGAGAGAGGTAGGGGAAGGTTGCCTGGGGAAATGAATGAGCACCTGTAGTTCCATATTCTGTGGGCCTCTGTTTCCACAGCTGTAAAATGGGGGTTAGCTTTTTTCTTTCTGTTAATTTTAAACCTAAGTATGTAAATGGACTGTTCAGAGTTGTATGTGACTCACGTCCAATGTGTCCAGAAGGCTGAGCTTAGGAATTGCTAGGTAGTGCCCTGTGCCGTGCTTCATGGCAGCTCGGGGTTGTGAAAGGTAATGGTTTTATTGCAAATTCCTTTTAACGTTGCCTATATAAAGCAGGAAACCTGGAGCAGCTTGGAGTTCTAGATTTGTTCCTTATGTTCTGTCTGTGTTTAATAATTGCAGGGCGTGTCCTCTTTCAGTTGAAATAATCGATTATTTTCCTGCACCTTAACACTAAGCTGTCCAAAATAGAGCATTATAATGCTCTGCAGAGTAAACCTTGCTGTGGAACTCACGATTTCAGATGACATCAGAAGGGCTTATCCTTCCTCACTTCTAACTCTGATACCCCCCCCCCCACACACATACCTGTAGCCTAACTTTTATATTTGGGGAAGGGATGCTATCCTTTTGTGCTAAAAGAAGAGCACCTGAATTTGGGAACAGGGAATCTGACTATAATCGGAAAGTGGGAAAAAAAGTTGATTATCTTGTGTGCCAGTTGGTGGTATTGTCTGCCTGCCACATCTGAAAAGATTTTCCTTATTTGTTCTCAGGTGTTGGCTCTATAATCCACTGTACTATAGGGCTTCCAGAAAGCCTCCCATTCTGAATGCCTTTTGATGTTATCAGTTTTTTTTTAAGATAGAATTTACATGCCATCACATTCACCCACTTACATTGTACAATTCAGTCACTTTAGTACAGTTACTACCACAGTCCACTTTAGGGCATTTTAACACCTGAAAATGAAACCTTGTACCTGTTGGCCCCTTGGTTTCCCTTTTCACATCCCATGCAACCACTGAGCTTTCTGTCTCTGGATAGTCAGTGGAAATGCCAACATACTAGTGGGCTTCTATGTCAGGCTTCTTTCACGGACTGTTTTTTTTTTGTTGTTGTTGTTGTTGTTGTTGTTGTTTTTTAAAGGTTTATCCATGTTGTAGCGAGTCCATTCCATCCCTTTTTATGTCTGAGTGATATTCCACAGTAGGGATAGACCACATTACATCCATTCACTTTTTTGTTATGGATGTTGAGTTTCTACTTTGAGTTATTGTGAGCAGTACTAACTGTGAACATTAGTGCTAAGTTTTCTATGTGGATGTGTCCAGTGAGGTTGCTGGCAGGTGGGATGTGTCTGTGCATGGCTCTGGAGGTGCTGCTACGCTGTTACAGTCTCAGTGGCCTGTGTGCACAGGCAGTTTTACCTGAAAGTGCGTTCAGAGGCAGAATGTATGCAGCAGGGGTGGGAGAAGGGATGTGGGGCTGAGCTTAGAGTTGTTTCTGTGATAATTCTGGGTTTTCTTATTTATGAAACTGATAATGATCAATGCCCTAGAGATCCTGGGGTGAAAATTGCTGACTCAGCCCTGCCCAATGTCCTTAAGATAAAGGGACAGTGTACATTTGTGTGTCTGACACTTTGCCTGGTGCTCCACAGGGCTGGGAAAGGGAACTTCAGAAGTCCTTTGCATAATAACTGTTGTTACAAACCTTTTGATCTGCCTGGTTGGAATGTTTCCTCTTGAATGTTGCTACTGTTATATTCCTCTAAACTTTTGAATTATGGTGAAAATGCAAGAGTTGGGAACACTACCTAACAAAAACCTGGAGCAAACTTTTAATACAACAGTCCCTATGTATTTCAAATTACACCAAGTGAAAGAGGCTCAGACAAAAAAAAGTACATGTTCTGATTCCATTCTTGTAAACCTTTCAGAAATGGCTGGCTAGCATATAGTGATAAGAGGCAACTCATTGGTTCCTGTTAGTTCCAGAGGACGGGAAGGCAGGAGGGGGACAAAGGGCACAGGAGTCTTGGGGTGATGGATATGTTCTTTATCTTGATTATGGGGTGACTTCATTATGTTTATGTTGATGTCAACTTTTACAATTACACATTTTAATCATGTGCCATTTGTTAGCTTTACCTCAATGAAACTATTAAAAGAAAAGTCACATGGACATCACTGCTCACCCATTGGAGAAGCGCAGTTTTTTGGTTTTTTTTTTAAGATTTATTTATGCATACTAGAACTGGGGTACAGGCCAGAGGTGCAGGAGGGTGACAGGATTCACCAGAGACAGTGGGGAATAGAACAGGCAGGCAGACTGAAATACACTGCTGAGGGGAGCAGCAGGCGAGACTGGAGAGGTCTGCTGCGCCATGTTTGGTAGCTCTCTGGCAGGCCGGGGATCAAACTCAGTTGCTGCAGTGGCTGCATATAGCTTCACAGTGCTGTGCTTAACTCCTTCTGCCATCAGGGAGGCCCTCAGTTTTTTTAAAAGGCTGAATGTAGAAACATCTGGGACTCTTATAACACCTGGCAGAATGGTGGTCACACCTGGGGCTACTCAGAACCCCCTGACTCTCAGGGTGGAAGTGTGCTCTGAGGGTGTGGGGGGGTTGGCAGTTAGAGCCTTGATAGTCTTCCATCGGCCCACAGAGCTGACAGGGAATCAAGGTGGCCACCTCAGTGCCGAATTGTGTGAAATGTTTGTAACTGTTCCCTAACATCTAAGCACAGCAGACACTCTCCCCTTCTTCCCTTCAGTTCAGCAATTTGAACAGCTTCTGCCCCTCTTTGCTAATATGTTTGAAAGCATTCCAGTGTGTCTTTGTGCCCTGCTGCTGAGGTGGGGCCATATGAGTTAGTGGTGCTCAGCTGTCTGACCCACAATATTGTGTGTGCAGTCCAGAAACATAAAGGGCATCTCCCCTCAGAGCTGTGTGCTGCCTGAGACAAAAGCACCACCAACGATTTCTGAGGTCATCTAATGTGAATTCCCCCTGCACTCTTCAGAAGAGGCCATCCCTGTTCAGTCGGATTCTGTGAGGCCCAGCACTAACATGCTTGCTGTGCCTCTGCCCCTGCCCAATACCCCGCTACCCCTTTTTTCCATGTCACTCAGGTCATGTCATGGCTGAGGAGTCCTGTCATGGCTGACTTTGCCCTGCAGGTCTGGGTGGGTTCCCCGAGTCCCTGGTTACTGGAGAGCACTGGTCCCAGGATAGGGTGGCCAGGGGTAGCCAGCCATGGGGCGCTGGGGATGCCTTTGACATACTGAAACGAAGTTTGGGGATTGGCTCCTGCACACTGACCAGAGAAAGATCCAGAGTAAAGGGTGGGGTCGGGGGCTTTCTATCTAGAACACATATGGAAAGCTGACCCAGGGATTGCTCTGTTAGCTTGGGAAGTCTCCACCTTTGTTAAGTCACCACCTTTGTAGGTCACAAATCAGTGAATCTCAGCAATCTCAGTGAAAAACGTATGGATTAAAGGACATTAAGAGACGCTACAAGTAATGTGCATTTGTTGACTGGGTCTTGGAATTAAAAACTAAAAGACACTGGCAAGACATGGGAAAATGCTGTGTGTGTGAGTGGCAGTATTACATCAATGTTAACTTCCTAAGCACTAGAGCTAGCGTGATTATGTGGAGTAGTCCCTTCCTGGGACCCGAACTCAGAAACTGGCCAGGAGAATACAAGTATGTGCATGTCTGGATGTGTGTGGCATGTGCAGAGCATATACGTGTGTGTAATGTGTGAGTAAATTGTGCATGTAGAGCAAGGAGATAGGCAACTTGTGACTGGTGGCTCTGGGAGATGAGGTGTGGGGTGACCATTATCTGTAGGTGTGGAGCTTTTTCAAAGGATAGGGGAGACCAGACCCTCTAGTAGCCTGTTCCCGAAGTGCTTCTTCAGACCAGGAAGCTGCCCTGAGGGAAAGGCGATTTCCCACTCTTTGTTGTGTTTAAACCTTGTATCAAAGACTCCAGATGAGTCATTCTACATCTCAGCCTGTTTGTGTCTGAGGAGACAAGCTTCCATTCAGCTGGCACTAGGAGGGCCCCTGGGTGTGGGCTGAATTCTGTGTTGGTATCATAGCAAGGAGCAGGGACCCTCTTGGGCCTCAGGTGAGTTTGGGAAGGCGTCCCTGGGAGGTACTGTGTGGCCCAAGACCTGAAGGGCTGTCAAGGAGCCAGCTATGCAGAGGTCACATGACAGGAGTGCAAAGGCCCTGGGGCACTGACAGACTTGGAGACTGAGGGGCAGAAAGGTTCCTTTCACACTGAGTGGTGGGACACTTAGAGGTTGGGAGTGTGAGTCTACTTGAACATTCTTCCCAGCACAGTGAGGGGTGATGTTAGAGTATACATACCTTTGCGTTGTGCCTCTTACAGCTCTGACATGCACACTGGGTCTGTGGTGGTGGTGTACAGATTATCCCTGGGCAGAGAACCCTGCAGGCCTTGATCAACTCAGGATGCATAGAGTGTGGCTCAGTTGTAGCTGGAAGCACTGGCAAACTGATGGGGACTGTGCCTGGGGGTGGTAACCCCAAGTACTTGAGTCTAGCACTGGTCTTATCCCACCCTGTCACCTGGCATGGTTGTGGGCTTCTCTGTACCAGGCACTCTTAAGTGCCTTAACTTATTTAATTATAGTTTTTAAGGTCACGTGCATTTTTTGAAGTTAATGTTTACCAGAAAACCATCCAGAGAGTAGAGGAGACCTAACAACCCAGCTGTAGAAGTCTGTTTGTGTGGTGGCCAGGTCATAACCAGCAGGGGTGTGGCCAAGTGAACACCCATGTGTGCATAGTTTAGTGTGTGAGTGTGTGTGTGTGTGCGCGTGTGTGCGCGCGCAGGCCCAAGAGGGGAGTACTAAGGGGAGGGGCTTACTGAGCCTCCCAGATGGTGACTGGAGGGACTGATTTTTACCTGCCCGCCTGCCTACTTTAGTGGCTTGAGGGAGTTGCCTACCCCACCCCCCACCCCATGTCTGTTTCTTGTCTCCTGAGTGTGCCTGAAACTGATTTGCAGTCTCTGTTCCTTGTTAGCCTGCTGGGTGAGCAGTGCAGTGCAGAGCAGGGGCCTCTGTGCTAGTCAGTCTACTGGGCGTCTCATGTGCTTGCTGAGCCCTGTGTCTTCTGTGGGAGGGAGGGCCCTATGGAGTATGATAATTTCTGTCTTACTATCATACTGACTTTGATATCTCAGGAAAGAAAAGATTCAAATATCACCAAGAATATTTCTTTACAGGTAAAAGCTATGCAACTTGATAAGAAATCTTGGGTGTTATTCTAGACTAAGAATCAGCAAATATTTTTTTAAGGGAATGGAGCCAGCTATTATAGACATGGATACCACCTCAGTCCTTGAGAGGCCTGGCCTGCAGGCTACTTCTGTTCTAGAACACAGACTAGGCCCTCTCCTGCAGCTTATAGGTGTACCACCCCCTGGCCCTGGGTTTCCCCTGAGGTGAAATCAGTACTCAGAGGAGAGGTGATGGGCAACTATCAGATCTCAAACAGCACAACTTATAACAAAAAAGTCAAATACCTACTAAAAGTAGATAAATGAATAGACAGTGTTATATATCACATTGTTATAAATGTTATAAATGTTTTTGAGGATGTGCAGAGAACCATGGTGGTCTGCAGGTGGGATGGAAGATGGTGCAGCCACCTTGAAAACAGTCTGGGGCGGGGGGGGGGTGTTCCTGAAATACCACAGAGTCACCATCGGATCTAGCAATTTCTACATCTGCAAGGGTCTTACACCTTTCACAGAATTGAGAGCGGCGTACAAAAGAGTTATTTATACAGTTGTCAGTAGCACTCTTCACAGTCTCCAAAAGATGGAAGCAACCTGTCCATTAATGGGTGATAAACACAGTGTGGTCCGTCAACACAGTGGAGAATTATCCAAAGAGCCAGTACACCCTGACATGGCTCCAACATGGATGAACTTTGAGAACATGCTGAGTGAGAGAAGCCAGACATACAAGGCCACATAATGTGTGATCTCATTCACGTCAGGTCCCTAGAGGAGTCACATTCATAGAGACAAAGAGGGATGGGGCAGTATGTGGGAGTGACTGCTCAGTGGGGACAGAGCTTCAGTTTGGGAAGATGAAAAGTTCTGCAGATGGAGGGTGGTGATAGATGCACAACTATGTGATATACTTAATGCCGCTGAACTGCATGTTTAAACATGGGTACAATGTTAAAGAGTCACAGTAGTATTTGTGGTAATGTTATAGCGCTGTCATCTTTGCATCAAAGTCCAAAAGTTGATTTGCTTTCTCTCTTTGAAAACACCCCCCCGCCCCCCCCCGAAAACATAGTCTTTCTTACTGTTAACCTGCTGTTCCCTTCCTGGAACAAGTTTACGAAAGGGCTGTAGCCACGAATGGGCTCCCATCTGGGTGAGACATCACAGACAGTTGTTCTGACCACCCAGACATACTTTTGGACTTCAGTACACCCCCATGGGCCATATGCCTTCACAGGGACCACTGTCTTGAGTTGGAGAGCTCCTTGGGCACTGTGGGCTCAGGGGAGCTGCCTGAATGCCCTTCCTGGCTCTGGGTAGCAGGGACCCTGTGAGGGCCCTACAGTGTGCAGAGACCTGTGGCGAAATAATGTGGTTCCGAGGCAGTTTTCCAGATTTTCCTTCGTAATCTGGCCACATGTGTTCAGCAGTAGTGCATGTGTTCACCCGGTGCAATTCAGGGATTGTTCCTTAATGTTGCCTGTGTATGTGTATGCTGTTGTGACATACTTAAGGTCAGACATTGATAGGGTTGTGGCCTGATTGGGAAACTCATCCTCACATTCATTTCCCAATTCATCAGGAAAGGTTGCCTCTTGAGGGACACTATAGTGGGGGGAGTTTGGTGACTGAGGAGGGAGCTGCCCCCTCTTCAGGGCTGAGGGGCACTACCTTAGCTGGTACGTACTCAGGGAGGGAGGCCCTCCCACTGGGTAAAATGCCAGCCTCTGGTCCATATGGGACTTTCCCTGGGAAGTTAACTCGTTTATGAAAAGTCATCTAGCTTTTTGGGGGGTCCTCAGTGAGGGCACGAAGCCTTTGCCTCCCCATCATGGCCTTGGCTTCATGACCAGTTAGACTTGGATGTGGGTCTGCACAGTGGATGACCCACTGACCTGTGGTTTGGGCGGGGTAGGTTTGATGGGGCAGGGGAGTGTGTGCAAAGTTGAATCAGAAGAAACTGAACTGTCTCAAAGTAGAGGCTTCCTGGGAGGGTTGAAAGGCTGCTCATGTGAGAGAAGCCATGTACCCAGTATGAGGCCCAGCATACAGCCTCTTGCAGTGACACTGCCGTTGTGCTGTAGGTGGGCGGACCAGAGGGCATCCTGCAAAATGGGGCCGTGGATGACAGTGTGGCCAAGACCAGCCAGTTGTTGGCCGAGTTGAACTTCGAGGAAGATGAGGAAGACACATATTACACGAAGGATCTCCCTGTACATGCATGCAGGTGAGTGCCCACAGCAGGATATAGCCCTTTCTGAGTTTGCTGCCTTTACCGAAGCCCATGTGAGCACATGTACTGTGACACTGTGCTGGTGGCACCGACCTTAGGAATAAAGCGGTGGCTTGGGTCTAGGTGCCCACAGGTGTCCCTGTGTGGGGCATGAGGGGAGCTCGGCACCCTCCTGCATCCTAACTCTTTCCAGGCTTTGCCCCCTCACTTACAAGAACTCATCCATTGGGGAGCATCCGGGTTAGGGTAAACAGAACTGTTAAGGTGTCTCGTACAAAGAATTACTGCACGATTCTTTTAGATTCCTGTCTCCCTCATGCGTTCAAGATTCCTGAAAAATAGAATGAGTAGTCATTGGGTAGTTTGGAATTATCATCTGGAGTCATGACCATCCCTTAATGTGTGAACTGATTTGATTTCGCATTTTTTGTTACATGCACTGAAATTGAGACCAAAGGAGGTGGAAGACTCTTGTACAGGGCACTTGCCCTCCGAAGCCTGGGTCCCTGCCCACCAGGACAGAGCCATCCTTCCCCTGCTCTGCGGGGAAACTCTTCATTTTGGCCTTGGGCTCACTCTGACTTACAGATGATTTAATTTACGTGTTAGTAACTTGTGTTAATGTTCCCCTGAACCTCCAGGCTGAGCTCCCGGAACTGGGGAGTGGTTGCTATATATACGCCTCATCTCTCAGTGTGGGGCATGGGGCAAGTTCTGGGCTGCAGCGTTTTCTGATTTGAGGCTGGTTCTGTGCTTCATACACAGTGAGTCTGGAGAGCGGTGTTTCATTTATGCTGTGTGGATTTCAGACGCTGGGGCTCTGGGGCCCTGGGGCCGGGTGCTCCTTGCGAACCAAACTTCTCTGCCCCCATACCCTAAACCACTGATTCTGAGCTACCTGTTCCTGGGAGCAGGACGCCCTCTGCTGGAGCAGGAGCACATGTGCTCTGATTCCTTTTCCCAAGCCAGCGCTGGGAATGCTGTTTTCCCTGCCTATACTTGGTTCCTGAAACTTTAGGTCAAGGGGAATAATTTGGATGCCTTGGGTGGTAGGCCTTCGATGCTGGTACACCTGGCATGACCCTTGCCCCTACCTGGAAGGGCTTTCTTCACAGCACCCCTGCCCCCTCCTTGCGTTCCAGGGGAAGGAGCCTTTGCAGTTGACTGATTGGATTTTGTTGGTGAGATCGTTGAGTTTGAGTATGTGTTTAATGAAAAACTTAAAAATGTTGTAAGAGGAAAGAATTTTATATCCTGCCAAATTAAAACCAGAGAGCACCCTTCCAGTTTTAACTGTTGATGTTTTGACTTTTCTAGTTACTGTGGAATACATGATCCTGCTTGCGTGGTTTACTGTAATACCAGCAAGAAATGGTTCTGCAACGGACGTGGAAATACTTCTGGCAGGTAGATAATCTGACCACGCATGTGTCTTTAATCAGGGTTGTGCGGGGTTTGTGTGTAAATTATGGAAATGTTGAAGTGAAGCACAATATAAAATCACGCTAACAAACCTGGTTTCTCCCTCCTCTGTGCCTGGTTTAACTTGAAACAGATGGTGGTGTGTGAATGCCTTAATGTATTTACCCTTGATTTATTCTCTGTGGTTCTTTTTATTATGCAAGTAGGGTTGACTTAATTCTTGTCCCCAGTTTTTATTTATATTTTTCTGCAAGATGAGCTCCTGGCATGCCCGCTCATCTTCATTACTGGGTGCCTGGGGAGGATGTTCCCAAGACAGTAACGGGCATCTGTGGGGGCTGCTTCCTGAGAATGCTCCCTCTGGCCTGAGCTCATTGGAGCAGTCCCGAGGCTAATACGGGCCAGATCCTGAATCATCGGATTAAATTAAGTTCACTTGACCGTCAGCTCTGGGCTTCCCTTCCTGCTGTTGATCAGCAGCAGCTGTGATGGGGTCCCTTGTTCTGTGTTTTGTGTTGGGGCTAGACAGCCTTGTGCTGGCGCTTAGTTTGCAGGAGGGAGCCCATGTGTCTCGCTTGAAAAGTATGCTCCACCGCCGGCTTGCTCCATGACTGTGGGGGTCTCATGGGGCAGTGTTCCGGGTAGCCAGCAGAAAGCAGAATCATCTTCTGAGGTTGATGTTTTAGAGAAAAAGTAAGTCAGCAAACAGACTGACTTGTACAGAACTCCCAACCTTCCTGTGTCTTAAAGCAGCTGCAGACCCAGCCTCAGCATCTCAGCCACCCAAGGACACAGTGGTCAGATCTCATGTCATCTTGGAGTTGGTGTTGTGAATTGTGGGGTTATGAGCAGGCAAAAAACGAAGCCGATGCTTTTTAAAGATTTGAAAGGAAAAGCATCTTGAGGGTCGCCAACAGATCACATCCCATTTTCAGAATATCCTGGTTAATTTAAGTGTGAATGTTTTTTGCATTAGTCTCTCTCCTACAGGAAAAGCAATTAAATAAAACTTGTCTTAGCTGGCAACCCCCACTTCCGGTCAGCAAAGCCAAGGTCAGGGGAATGAGCGAAGGGCCTCTAAGGGAAAACAGCTCAGATTCACCGGCATTACGAGTTCCATGATGACCAAGAGGACTGCCTTCAGGGAACTTGAATGCGACAGGATGAGATGGGCACAGAAAAGATGAGGGGAGATGGCAGATACTGGTAAAATCGCAGTGTGGCAGCTCCAGGAGCGCATTGAGGGACTTTGGGGTGCCAAGGGTGGCATTAGTTGGGTGGATAACCTGTTTGACTTTATGGAGGCAGAGAGAGTTGGAAAAGTTGGGTCTGAGCTGAAGCTTGCAACAGGGGTTTCCTAAGTGGGGGGGAGGGTTTGCTGCAGTGAGGAAGTCTGGGAGAGTCAGGCTGCACCTGCATCTCGTGGGCCCCAACAGGACTGACTGGACAGAGCAGAGTTTAGTGACCAGGGGCCTAAACAGGGTCCTGGTCATGCGACAGCAAGGAAAGCTCAGAGATGGCAGGTTTCAGACGATGGGAGCCCTCCTGCTTCATGTGTCCTACTGTCCTCAGGTTTCCAAATTGCTAGTTATCAGGTTTCCTGACCTGTAGTGCGTTAGGAGGGCCATTGCTCCTGGAGGAGGCCCTGAGGCCCCAGAGAGAGACTCTGAAAGTACAGAGGAGCCATGGGAGGGCCGGCGCCTGCCCTGGCTTCTTACCTCTCTAGGATAACAGCTTCGGCCCCAGTCACAGATTTTGGGTAGACTCAGGAGTTGGATTGAAGAAAGCAGGAAGTGGGGGGGGGAATGGGGGGAAAAGCAGGAACTATGTGAAACGTGTTAGAAAAGCTTTCCTTAAGATGGTTCAAGTCAGATTGATTCTTGCATTCAGTGGGGAGCCAACTCAGGGGCGGGCCAACCCCCGGGACGCCAGATGGATGAGGTGTGACCGCCTCTGCTAATGGACCGTGAACGGTACCGGAACTTTGACAGGGGCCCGAAAATTGGAAGTGGTGAAAAGCCAAACTTTGGGTGTTAACTATTTATCATTTCCTGGTTTCAGCCACATTGTAAATCACCTCGTGAGGGCAAAATGCAAAGAGGTGACGCTGCACAAGGATGGGCCCCTGGGGGAGACTGTTCTGGAGTGTTACAACTGCGGATGCCGCAATGTATTCCTGCTGGGCTTCATTCCCGCCAAGGCTGACTCAGTGGTGGTGCTGCTGTGCAGGTGGGGGTGCCCTGCTAGAAGGTGGGGGCTCAAGAGAGAGATAGGGGTGTTGGGAAATTGGAGTGTGTTCTGGGAGAATCATAACAATTCTGTGAAAACAAAGTCTCCTGAATTGTAAGAACTCAGAGCTCGAGTGTGAGGGGAGATGGAGTTATCACTAACGGATTGCGAGTGATAAGATCATGGTAGAATGGGGATTGAGGCTGGGAGGAAGGCAAGCCCCCGGGTGGAGGCTGGCCTCATGGGTGCCCTTGCCCTATCTTCAGAGACCCCCTCTACCCTATATCACAGCCCTTGCCCTTGCTCTGTAGGCAGCCTTGTGCCAGCCAGAGCAGCCTCAAGGACATCAACTGGGACAGCTCACAGTGGCAGCCGCTGATCCAGGACCGCTGCTTCCTGTCCTGGCTGGTGAAGATACCATCAGAGCAGGAGCAACTGCGGGCCCGGCAGATCACAGCCCAGCAGATCAATAAACTGGAGGAACTCTGGAAGGTGAGGCTTCCCTCAGCATGGGCTCTGGGAACCAGAGTTCATAAACAGGTTCTGGAAGGAACTCTCATTCCGGTGGCCCATGCATAGAGAAGGGAAACTGCAGTTGTTGGAGGTTTTTTTCTGCTCGCTTTTTCTGCTTGGGTGAGGGTGGTGGTGGCAGAAGTGGGTGGCTGTGGGTGGCCAGGTCAGGAGGATCCCTGGGACCTGAGCGGACAGACAGGACCGAGTGTGCTGGGACCCAGCTGTGACTGAGCTGGGTGGCAGCAGGGCAGGCTGATGTTCTTTGGGCTAGGAGTCAGATTTAAAGGTCAGAAACTTAAAGTGGGGCTCAGAGCAGCTGATGACTGAAGGAGAGAGGGGTCAGATAGTTGAGTTCCTGCCCTGCTGAGCAGACCCATGGGGAGATTCCCCCACCCGTTCCTCCATGAAAGCCCTTTGGTACTGGCTGTTCAGATTTCCTGATAGTTTTAATATTTAGACCAGGCGTTTTCATTGGGCATCCATATGTAATCAGAATCCTTAAGTGTGAATTTATTTTCACTTAGAGTGCAAGTCAAAATATTTTTCAAGCATTGGCTAGTAGAGTACCTTTCCACTTGGATTCTCAGGCTGCCGCCAGTGGTGGTTTTCATTTCTGTTTTTGCCCACTTAGCCCAGATCATGTTCTCTCCCTGCCAGGAAAAGGTGGTTGCCCTTGTCCTTGCTATAGGGGCAGGAAGAAACGGGAAGTGGCCCTCTCTCCCTCCTTGTGTTTACACATCTCAGAGATAGCAGCAGTCTTTCTGGCAGCCTGGGAGCAGTGTTCTCTTCCAGGCCATAGGCTAAGCTTTTGTTGATAATGCAGCCATTGATGATACAGATATGTCTGACTGTGTACCTGGGGGGTCAGCACCAGGGTCTGCCCTGTTGGTGTAACCTTGTGATGGGGAGACGTTCTTTCCCAATGCCTTGAATGTAGTCCTGTGAGGGGGACACCTCTGAGGGCTGACGCCATTCTCTCTGAGCCCTGCATTGACTGCTTCTCTAAGATGACAGTTTTCCCTGTCCATGCAAGCTGCTGAAAATGGGGAGAACACGGTGTGGCCTTCTTGCCTTCCAGGAGAACCCTTCGGCCACCTTGGAGGACCTGGAGAAGCCAGGAGTGGACGAGGAGCCACAGCATGTGCTGTTACGCTATGAGGATGCTTACCAGTACCAGAACATCTTTGGACCGCTGGTCAAGCTGGAGGCTGACTATGACAAGAAACTGAAGGAGTCCCAGGTGATGTGTGTACAGAAGGCTGTGTTGTAACATGGTGGGCATCTCTCCTGGGGTCGGGGAGTGCAGCTCTCCGCAGGCCTTGAGGCTGAGCCTTGTAGCCTGTGGGCAGATTCCCTGTCACTCGGAGCTAAAATTTAAATCCACCAGAAGTCCCTCATTGGGTTTGCAGCCTTTGCCCGCAGCTACGAGTCAAACCTGAGGAGTCTGCAGCACACAGAGGGCCTGGGAAGTGTGGAGCCCAACACCGTGGGCTGGGTCCTGCCATCAACTTCTTCTCCCCCTTCCAAGGCCCACGGAGAAGCTGCCTCCACAACAGACGTCGAATGGGTTCTGGGAGTTTTAACGACTTCTCTCTTGATGTGCCTCATTGGCATTTCAGGCCGTTGGGTGCTGCTCGCATCATTGCGACTCAGAGGTCACTGTGGGGCACAGGCCCATGGAAACCCAGGCACGTGGAGTCCAGGCCCGTGTCTGTGGTAGGCTAACAGGGCTCTTGTTTTCCATGTGCTCAGACTCAAGATAACATCACGGTCAGGTGGGACCTGGGCCTTAACAAGAAGAGAATCGCCTACTTCACTTTGCCCAAGACTGACTCTGGTAATGAGGATTTAGTCATAATTTGGTTAAGAGGTGATTTTAAGTTTTAAAATATTTGTGACCATAGTAGCATAAAATTCCTAGTTTTACCCTTATAAAGTGTCCCTTAATTTGAATTTGTGGTGACAGCTTCACACATGTGAAAACACCGATTTTCTTGCTCTTTTCCATATAAGACATGCGACTCATGCAGGGTGATGAGATCTGTCTGCGCTACAAAGGGGACCTGGCGCCCCTGTGGAAAGGGATCGGCCATGTCATCAAGGTCCCTGATAGTATCCTTTGTATGTGGGGGGAGGTGAATGATAGGAGATTGGGGAGAGGGTGACCATGGCTGTGTTAGAATCTTGGGCTGGAGTGCACTCTACTTTCAGGAAAGTGCCAGAATGTTGCCCTAAAAAGGTTATAAGGGCTCTTTCTCTGCCCACTGTGGTAAATGAGGCTGTGTGTGTGACAAGGAACAGCTTCTACTCTTGGGAGCTTGCTTGGGTTCTGAAGACCCTTGCCCAGAAGCTGTGTTAGAGTCTTGGGCTGGGGACTATGGGACTATGGCTTGGGCCACCGGGATATGTGCAGATACAGGGAGCCCGTCTGCTTGGCCATGCACCATGACATGCTGTATTTTGGGTGGTCCAGCTTGAGGCTGTGGTTCTGGCCTGGCAGCATCTGCACAGTTCAGGTGCTATAGGGTGCAGTGGGCGGGGAGCTTTGTGGGAGGGAATTTTGGAGAATGGCCTGGAGCTGGATGGTACCATGAGATTGGGTAGGTTGGCCTGGAGTCTCTTTCTTGAGAATTCTAGAACAGCCCTCTGTGTGGGTCTCTGTCAAGCTTATCCTGAACACAGGAGACAATGTGGGTCCTCTCAGAGACCAGTTTTGGGACATCTGATGGAAGAAAGGGTATCATACAAGACTGCTCTGGCTGGGATGTGTGCTTTGAGTTGTGTTTGTTTCTGGGCCTTTTTTCAGTTGTATTTGGAGGGTGCCTGTTTGTATAAAACTGATAAGAGGTGCTTTGCCAGGCTCCTCCAAGCTCTGCCCCAGAGGTCTAAGGAAGCTCAGAGTTGGGAAGGGACCCTGATGTGTCCACTCACTGCCAGTCCTAGGCAGTGCCAGACTTGGAGCATGCAGGGTTGGATGCAGAGTGAATATCTGAGCGCCGAGGTCTGATGGGTGCTTTCTCATGGCACAGAGGAGAGGGTCCTGTAGAGCTGACTTTGACGAGGATGGTACTTAACTCAGGGCACAGATTATGGCGATGAGATCGCCATTGAGCTTCGGAGCAGTGTGGGCGCTCCCGTGGAAGTGACACACAACTTCCAGGTGGATTTCGTGTGGAAGTCGACCTCATTTGATAGGTACGCTGGGTGCCACTGCCTTGGAATCACCTGCTGTCTCTTGGACTGTTTCCAGCTCAGGACTGACCTGGAACTCTTCTTACAGGATGCAGAGTGCATTGAAAACGTTTGCTGTGGATGAGACCTCTGTGTCAGGCTACATCTATCACAAGCTGCTTGGCCACGAGGTGGAGGATGTGATCATTAAGTGCCAGCTGCCTAAGCGCTTCACTGCGCAGGGCCTCCCTGACCTCAACCATTCCCAGGTTTCTGCCCTCCTGGGGTGGAGAGTGGGGGCTGATCTCAGTGCTGGCAGGCGGCTGCCCTGGAGCATCTGTGCCCTTAACACCACTGTGCCTGCAGGTTTACGCCGTGAAGACTGTGCTGCAGAGACCACTAAGCCTGATCCAGGGACCGCCAGGCACGGGGAAGACAGTGACCTCAGCCACCATCGTCTACCACCTGGCTCGTCAAGGCAACGGGTAGGTCTGGTCTGCTCAGGACTGATGACCTGGTGCAACTTTTTACATTATTTGATTTTGATTGTCGTGTGGTTGCTTTTAACAAGCAAGCTTGCTGCTCTGGCGCAGGCACTACCGGGTGGACATGTCCCAGGTTGCCTGTCTGCTTGTGTCTTTGCCTTGCCAACGAGAGAGTGGAGATGTGGTCCACTCATTAATAGGACTGAGAGTGGCAGTGGAACCACCCAAGGGTCAGCATCATTATGCTTTCTGCCTGTGAATCTTGGCATTTCCTGCACTGACGGTGGCTGTGTGTTGCAGGCCTGTACTTGTCTGTGCTCCCAGTAACATAGCTGTGGACCAGCTGACTGAGAAGATTCATCAAACTGGACTCAAAGTTGTGCGGCTCTGTGCTAAGAGCCGTGAGGCCATCGACTCCCCAGTGTCCTTCCTGGCTCTGCACAACCAGATCAGGAACATGGACAGGTGGGTATTGGACTTTGTGTTGGGCATCCTATGCCCATGCCCCTGTGCCCACTGATGGCCCTGTGCTTCCAGCATGCCAGAGCTTCAAAAGCTGCAGCAGCTGAAGGACGAGACTGGGGAACTGTCATCTGCAGATGAGAAGCGTTACCGGGCCCTAAAGCGCACTGCTGAGAGGGAGCTGCTCATGGTGAGGAGGAACCCCCTGCCTTTGGTTTGGCTTTGTTGCCTCTGATTGAGACCCTGTTTGAACATGTTAAGCCCGTGTTGGCATCTGTAATTTGCTTTTGAGAGAACTTACGGGTGTCCCTTTATCTGCTTTTTCTGTGGCTGCCCAGTCAGAGGTCTCAGTGCTTAAACCACAATTTTAGAAGCAGTTTCCACTCTGCTGTGTGAGTGTAGAAGCCCCCGCCCCACTTTGTGCCAGAGGAGGGTGGGATCATGCCCTCCTACTGAAGATCCTGCAGGGTTCCATGTGTAGCACTGCCCTCAGAGGGGCTCAGTTACTCAGCTCACCTTGGCCTGCACAGACATGCTACATGGGAGGATCAGCTGATTCATGCTACATGGGAGGGATTGCACCCATTGTCAGCCTGTGCCCTGACACCTTGCTCTCCTCCAGAATGCGGATGTCATCTGCTGCACGTGTGTGGGTGCTGGTGACCCCAGGCTTGCCAAGATGCAGTTCCGCTCCATTTTAATTGATGAAAGCACCCAGGCCACTGAACCAGAGTGCATGGTCCCTGTGGTCCTTGGAGCCAAGCAGGTGGGCCATGTGGTTTACACTGAAGTCTCTTTCCATCTGTGATCCTTTGTGCCGGGGATGTGTTTCTCAATGTCCTGTGATGCTATGTGATACCCTAAAGGGCAGAGGGACCTACCACAGGGGTGGGGAGGGTTATCTCTGAAGGGGAGGGTTCTCACCAGTCTCCTATATAGTCTTGCCAGTGGGTCCTGAGCAGACCTGTGGTGGGTGGCTCTCATACCCCCACTTAGTATCCTGGAGAATTTCCATGGCCAGTTGGCTACATGGACCCACGGTCTCGTCCCTGTGGGTGGATGTCTAGGCTATGTTGTTGAGCTGCTCTTCTGTTGGATCTCTTTCTGCAGCTGATCCTCGTGGGTGACCACTGCCAGCTGGGCCCTGTGGTGATGTGCAAGAAGGCAGCCAAGGCTGGGCTCTCCCAATCACTGTTTGAGCGCCTGGTGGTGCTGGGCATCCGTCCCATCCGCCTGCAGGTCCAGTACCGGATGCATCCTGCACTTAGCGCCTTTCCCTCCAACATCTTTTATGAGGGCTCTTTGCAGAATGGCGTCACTGCAGGTGAGGGGTTGCCAAAGTATGGTGCAGCCACTTGTTGGGATGGGAGGGCAGGTTGCCTTAGGCACTGTAGTCAGAAAGTCCTCATGAAATTCACCTCTGAGCTTACCACACACCAGAACGGGAAGGAGGGAACTGATTGCCCCCAGTCCTACTACTTTCGGTGGTTCTCGAAGAAGAGACCATGTGTGAACTAAGGGTAAACTGCTTCCATGGTAATGCTGAGGTGCCATGCACCCTTTCTTTGTGCTGACGTGCCCACTGATGGTAGCAAAGCTGCTACCGCTGAATGGCTGTGTTGTTACTGTTGGGTGCTATCGCACCACAGCCTGAACAGTGGCGCAGAGAGCATGCATTTCCCTGACCCTGTGTGGTAGACTGGGGAGTTTGGGATACCTGGCTATAAGGCAGGTGTTTGAAGGAAGTGCTCAAAACTTCAGTGGAACAACTGATGATATCATCACCAGTGAAAATCTTGAGACTTCAAAAGGAAATTAGAATGTTGCTCCCTAGCATTAACTGACCAGGTCTTCCCAAAATCAAATGACTTTCTGACGAGATTGTGAGGTGACAGGTATCTGAAGTGTCTTGCCCCTGTGGTGTGTTTGACTCGGTGAGCAGGTACCTCCATTCTGGCAGCCAGCGTGGAGGCTTACAAAGCTACCTGGGTCATAGGCCATAAAGAGCACAGGGCAGACTAGAAAGGCTGTTACCATTGACCAGCAGGGTGACCTCCCATCTAAGTTGGTTATAGAATCTGGAAGATTCCACCACCGTGAGAGAAGTTACAAAACACTTTTCTTCTCCCGCCGCACACAGCATTGAAGCCTGACTCTTTGCCCACAGCAGCAGCCACAGGAGACAGACTGGATCTGACTAAGCCAGATAGAGAAACAAGTTGCAAAAATTCACTAAATTTCTACTATAGTAGAAAATGAGGGGTTTTTTTTTGTTTGTTTTTTTAAAAAAAAAAAAATCTTAACATGTTATGGGTTTATTTTTGAATGAATTAATGTCTCAGACTTTTAAGTTTTAAAATACAGCGAGTATTATCAGTAGAGATGATCCATGGACACATTAGCTATTGGGACTTTTCAACGGTTTGTAGAACTTGGTGTCTCATAACAGCCCACCTTTGAGCCTTGCTTCACTCCACTTTATAGGTTCTTGCATCTGCACACTGGGGTCCTGGGAATTGGCCTGCTCTTGCTGTCCCAGGGGCACTTAGAGCTACTGGTCCTCTGGGTGGTGGGGCTAGAAAAGGCCAGGTCTACACTACTACTCAACCATGCACAAAAAACAACTCAACATGGGTAAAAGACCTGGACATAAGATCTGAAACCATAAAATATATAGAAGAAAATATAGGTAAAACACTACAAAGCATACACCTCAGTAACATCTTTAAAGACTCATCACCCAAAGCAAAGATAGTCAAGGAATAGATAAACACGTGGGATTACATCAAACTGAAAAGCTTCTGCACAGCAAAAGAGACATTAACCAAAACAGAGAGACACCCCACTGATGGGGAAAAAATCTTTGCACCCCAGTCAACTGATGAGGGACTGATCACAAAGATACACAAAGAACTCACACGGCTCAACAAAAACAAAATAAACAGTCCAGTCAAGAAATGGGCAGAAGAACTCAAAAGACACTTCTCCAAAGAGGAAATGCAAATGGCCAACAGGCATATGAAAAAATGTTCACTATCCCTTATCATCAGGGAAATGCAAATCAAAACCACACTGAGACACCACCTTACACCAGTAAGAATGGCACATATCAAAAAAACAAGCAACAACAAATGTTGGCGAGGATGTGGTGAAAAAGGAACTCTCCTACATCGCTGGTGGGAGTGCCAACTGGTCCAACCACTGTGGAAAGCTGTCTGGATGTTCATCAACCTCCTAAAAATGGAGCTACCATACGACCTGGCAATTCCACTCCTAGGGATCTACCCAAAGGACACAAAAACATTGATTCAAAAGAACCCTGCACCCCTGTGTTTATTGCAGCACTGTTTACAATAGGTAAAGCCTGGAAACAACCCAAGTGCCCAAAAATAGATGACTGGATCAAGAAGATGTACATATACACAATGGAATATCATTCAGCAATCAAAAAAGATAAACTCATGCCATTCACAGCAATGTGGATGGAGCTAGAAGGAATTATGCTCAGTGAAATAAGTAAGAGGGAAAAAGAAAAATATGGGATGGTTTCACTTATAGCAGGAATATAGGGGAACCCAACAAGACATCAGTGTAAAAGAATAATAACAGTATAAATCACAACAAAGCAAAACTGGACAATTATAAATCAGAGACATAATGCAGGGGAGGAGGAGGGAGAGGGATCGGAGGGAGGGAGGGAGGGAGGAAAGAACGCAGGGGACTGAGGTGATGGTGCACGGGTGCATTAGGAAAGGAAATTCCATGGGGATTACACCTGGAGGGTTTGGGGGGAAGCAAATATTGTTTAAAAATGAACAACGATGTAAAGAAAAAATTTTAAAAAGGCCAGGTCTAGCTAGAAGTCTGATTCAGATGCTTTTGACCCCTGTTGGGAAAGTTTTGACACTGGCTCAGCCTCTGGCAGCCCTGCTCCTCCAGGGCATTGGCCCTGTGATGTGGGGGCTGGGGTCCATGGGTGCCATTAGAACCCGGCACGAGGGTTGCATCCAGTGAGCATGCGTTTAGTACTGTATATTGAAGTGTGAAGACAAGCCTGAACCCAGTGTCCAGCTAACTGAACTTTTCCTAAGTGACTGTGTGTCACCAGCACCTGAACACAACCACCAGCTCCCCCTTCAGCCCTCAGGTGACTCTCTCCAGGTAGGGCTAGAGCCTCTAGACCCACTGCTATAGGACCTCATCTTTGGCAGGCACTATAACCCTCAGCCTGCCTGCCCACCCCACGGGAGAAAGGTGTGGCAGCACCTGGGCTCACAGCCTTCACTTTGCCAGGGGGCCCTTTGCTATTGTAAGCTGAATAGAAAAGGGATCATAGCATGCCCTCCCTGATGTTAGACCAGTGCAGTGCAGAAATGAAACTTTTTCACACTGATCTGATTAAAGACAACTCCAGTCAAAATTCCCAAAGGGATGGGGGAATTAACCAAGTAACTTTTTTAAATTATAAGGAAATAAATGCACAGCAAAATGAACATGAAGAGCCTGAACAAGTCCGCTGAGCCAGGTGTAGGAGCTTACGGGTGCTTTAAGTCACAGTAGAAAAGCTTCTAGAAGAGAATAGTATCTTGTGTAGGTAAAGGCAAACAGGCTGCCAGACTGGTTTTTCCCAGTGAAGTCTTTTCAGCAAGTACATCAGCTCTGTGCCCTTAGCCCTGGGCACTTTGGGAACAGATGGACCCAGAGTCCTCCCTTAGGCCCTGCAGACTTGGGTTTCCCGTCCAGAGCCTGTTACCGCCTCCTGTGCATGACCTCTGCCCGAGAGACCTGCTGCGGCATTCTCCGCTGTTCTCTAATTTGAGGTGTTGCCTTTTCTCCTTCCTTGGTGACAGCGGATCGAGTGAAGAAGGGCTTTGACTTCCAGTGGCCCCAGCCTGATAAGCCCATGTTCTTCTATGTGACCCAGGGCCAGGAGGAGATCGCCAGCTCAGGCACCTCCTACCTGAACAGGTAAGTGACTCCTGGTATCTGCAGGCTCCTGCTGTGTCCACTGAGACAACAACTCACCACCGTTCGGTTCAGACACTTAACCTAAGGGCATCTCCACTTGTTTTTTCAATGTATGCTTTTTGTTGAGTGAGCCTTTTGTCCCTCATGATCCCTGTTAAGCATGGGGCTGCCCTGGCCTCTTGGCTTCCACCCTCAAGCCTTGGGGGAGCACACAGGAGGCATCAAGATTTGAAAGCCTGATCTTTCAGGACGGAAGCTGCAAATGTGGAGAAAATCACCACGAAGCTGCTGAAGGCAGGGGCCAAGCCAGACCAGATCGGCATCATCACGCCCTACGAGGGCCAGCGCTCCTACTTGGTGCAGTACATGCAGTTCAGTGGCTCCCTGCACACCAAGCTCTACCAAGTGAGTGGACCAGGGGTGCTTTGCTGGGACCACCTGAGACCCATGGGCTGGACCTTGACGGCCCTGCTTTGGGGGCACATGAGCAGATGGTCCCATGCAGGATTGGTGCGTCTCACAGGTCTCATGCAGTTGGTCTCAAGGCAGTCTGTTGGTTGACATGACCGTGTGCCCGTTTTAGGAGGTAGAGATCGCCAGTGTGGATGCCTTCCAAGGGCGCGAGAAGGACTTCATCATCCTCTCCTGTGTGCGCGCCAACGAGCACCAAGGCATTGGGTTTCTAAACGATCCTAGGCGGCTCAACGTGGCCCTGACCAGAGCGCGGTATGGACATACCCCTGGCCTGCTGGGCCTTAGTGGTGGCAGGTGTTGATCCTGCTGTGGAATCCTGAGGAACCTTCCCTCAGGGTCTGGCGCTACCTAGATTCCTTGTTAAAATCCTTGAGTCCCAGCCTTGCATTGTGCTGGTGGCACTGGGTGTGAAGATGCTTTGTCATATATGGGACCCAAGGGCCCCCAACACTGATTTAGAAACCCGCTCACCTCCAGGCACCTTTGTCTCCATGTCCTGGTAATTCCATGGCTTTGGTCTTTGGGTAGTGTTCTGATAGTTACTCCTGTGGGGTGTTTCCCTACTGTGTTGTTTGATGTTGGTTTGGTCCTATCCCCCTTCCTTTGCTCTGGATACAGCTTTTCTGAAATGGTGATGGTAGCAGAGGACTTAGAATAGAGTGGTTTGGTGGTTCTCTGCAGTACCAGATAACAGCCCCTCTGTCAGCTAGAGGTTGGACTAGGTCCACTTGTTGGTGCCCTCTCCTATGTGTAACCTCTTTTATGTTGCACTCTTAACTTGCTGGGCAACATTTGGGTGGGGTCCCTAAATGTTGAGTGAGTGGTAAAGCCTGCTAGGGACCAGTGGTGCCCTGGAGTCTGACTTGTGACTACAGACAAGCAGCTTTGTCTCTGAGCTCTGCCCACTGTAGTATTTTGACATCTGGGCTACTCAGGAATGCACCCCTAAATATACCCAAGTATATTCGCATTGTCATCAGCTTATGGAGAGGACTCCAGTTGTGGTCACACAGCCAGCAGTATGCCCATCACTCACTGAGTTCTATCATGGGCCAGGCCTCTAGGCAGGAAGGGTGAGGGCATCTGAAGCCCCAAGAGCTCCTGTGTTGTGAGGGGTGCTGGATCTGAGTCGATGTGCGCGGCATCTGCTCGCTGGCAGCCCTGGGCACCATGCTCTGTGTCATGCTTGCAGATATGGGGTCATCATTGTGGGCAACCCAAAGGCCTTGTCCAAGCAGCCCCTGTGGAACCACCTGTTGAACTACTATAAAGAGCAGAAAGTCCTTGTGGAGGGACCCCTGAACAACCTGCGGGAGAGCCTTATGCAGTTCAGCAAGCCCCGGAAGCTGGTCAACACCATCAACCCTGTAAGTGCTTTAGGGGGAGTGAGCCACCCTGACCCGACTCAGCAGCCTGTGGGCCTTGGCACTGTGAATCACTTAGGTGAGCCTCATCGCTCAGGCAGGAGGGGGTGGAAGACAGTGCCAAGACCCCTTATTCCCCAAGCCAGTGCCGTGGGGATGCAGCGTGCACGGGAGCAGTGGTGCAGGCCTGTCCCCCAGAACCCATGCACTGGGGATGCTTTTGAGTGTTGTCTGGGAGTAAGTCACACGTGGCAGTTAGGAAACTTTGGAAACCTGGTGCTTTGGTGGCTTAGGGGGTGTCATGTTTCGGAACCGAAGTCAGAGATGGACTGTCCATGAGAGGGTGGGTCAGCAGGCCTTCATGCAGACACTAGGTCTTTGGAAAGTTCTGCATCTAGGTGGTAAATTCCTCACCTACCCAAACTCTCTGCAGGGAGCCCGCTTCATGACAACAGCCATGTATGATGCCCGGGAGGCTATCATCCCAGGCTCAGTCTATGACCGCAGCAGCCAGGGTGAGTGTCTGGTGGGGGGGGACCTGGCCACCCGTGGATGTTGACTGTTCCCATGCCTGCTGCATCCTGCCTGTCACTTCTGGTGACCTCCCCAGCATCGATCCACAAAAAAAAAAAAAAGCCTAGCAACAGGTGTACCCAGTTCCTTTTTTTGAAATCACAAGTTGGTCTCTTTCTAGAAACAAGTATTTTCAATAATGCAGTTCTGCTTGTGGTGTCAGATCTTTTTTACACCCTGCAGCCTGCCTGCTTGCCCTGTGCTTCCTGCCCACCCTTCTCAGAGGGACGCCACAGCACTGCTTTTTCAGGAGCTGCTATCCTGATGCTTTACTGGCTTCCTAGACCTCAGATTTCCTATAGGTCTCTGCCCCAAGGCTTAGCTTGCCCTGCTGTCTGGATGCTGCCTTCTGCCTCAGCAGTCTATACATGGTTCCCCTGTGTCACCTGGGACCTTGGCCCAAGCCCCGCAGAGGGTGCTTTCTGCCATATACCACATACTTTGACCTTTGTCTTGTGCTCCATTCTGTGGGCAGATGCATTCACCTCCTCATGCCTTGGCTAGCCCCCTTATCGGGTCTCTCTCATTCTAGTTCCAGGCTCAGATCGAGGACTGTGTTCCAGAATGACAACTCTGACTGCTGTGTGGCTAAGAGTTATCTGGGCCTGACTTCCCTAAGTTTGCTGGGTTAACCACCAAGGCCACAGGCTCACCAGGGCTCTTGGCTTCCCAACCCCAGGGGCATCTCTGTGAGGGTTGGGTCACCCCTAGACCGTGGAGCTTTGCCTCTGGCCAGAGTCACCTGCTCTGTGGAGCTGATGTTGCCTTGTGTTTTGCTGTGTGCTTGGGTATAATGGGCATATAAAATGTGCCATAAAAAAGACCCCTTTTTTTTGATCATTGGAAATGCAGTGTGGAGATTCTTAAATTGTAAGATCTCTGTAGGGCAGGGGGGGACTGTTGGTAATGGAGTAGAGAGTTGTGGATCTGTAGCAGGTGACTTTGCTGTGGGAATAGCACCAAGAAACACGGGTGGGCCAAGCATTGACAGGCGCAACGGACATACCTATGCAGGTAGACCAGCTAGCTCGTGAGGGCTGGCGACAGGCTTGTTGGGATGCAATAGGCAACACGCCTGTGCCCTCTTTGTCTTACAGGCCGGCCCTCGAACATGTACTTCCAAACCCATGACCAGATCGGCATGATCAGTGCCGGCCCCAGCCATGTGGCTGCCATGAACATTCCCATCCCATTCAACCTGGTGATGCCACCTATGCCACCACCCGGCTACTTTGGACAAGCCAATGGGCCTGCTGCAGGTGAGTGCCGGCAGTGTGGTACTGGGAGAGTGCGTTGCCTCGAGTTCATGTGGGGTTCTGAGCAGACTGTCTGGGAGCTCTCCTAAACTGTTCGTCTTTCAGGCCGGGGTACCCCAAAAGGCAAGACTGGTCGTGGGGGCCGCCAGAAGAACCGCTTTGGGCTTCCTGGACCTAGTCAGACGAATCTGCCCAATAGCCAGGCCAGCCAGGACGTGGTATCCCAGCCTTTCTCACAGGGCGCGCTCACACAAGGCTACATCTCCATGAGCCAGCCCTCCCAGATGAGCCAACCCGGTCTCTCCCAGCCCGAGTTATCCCAGGTGAGTCAGCTGGTGAGTCCGCTGCTACATTCCAGAGACCTTAGCTCAGCCTCCTGCACGAGCACTTCCTTAGCACAGACCTATTGGTCTGCCACATTCCATCATCACCTGGGCAGCCAGGACAGTTTTCTGTCTCTCTGGTTTGATAACCAGTGTGGGTCCCGTGCCACTTAGACCTAGGGTTCCAGATTGTTCTTGGGCTGGTGAGAGGCTGGGTGCTGAGCAGGTTCTCGGGATGCATGCTCTGACTTGTATTTATCTCCTACTCTGTCTTTCAGGACAGCTACCTTGGCGATGAGTTTAAGTCCCAGATCGATGTGGCGCTGTCACAAGACTCCACATACCAGGGAGAGCGGGCATACCAGCATGGTGGAGTGACGGGGCTGTCCCAGTACTAGAAGGCAAGTGGGGGGGGTGGTCCTCCAGGGCATCTCTATCTAGCAAGTCAGGAAACTGAGGGCCCAGTTTGGCCTGTGCCAAGGACTGCATCCCTGCACCTCTCTGTACAGTGGCAGGGTGTATGAACCTCCCTGTCACGGCCCTCTCCTGAGTCCTAGAGCTCCCTGAGAAAGGGGTGAATGAGGGGGTCCCATGGCCACTGGTGTCAGTGAGGGGGTGGTACCTGGTCTCCCAATGCATGGGGACTCCTTCCTGTTTGTGCAGTGACCGAGCAGAGTGTGTGGGGGCATGGCTCCCACCTCTCTGCAGGAAAATGGGGTATGGGTGCAGCTTGGGCGAAAGGACCTCAGTTGCACCCAGACTCAGCCTCCTTGGTGTGGTGTCATGGATCTGGGGTACCCCCCTCACAGTTAAGATGGGGGGTGCAAAGCAACTGCCATTCCTTATATATGGTCTTCTGCCCCTTCCTCTCCTTACCCCCCCTCCCCCCGTGTAGGTGGCGGCAGAAGAGCTAAGCTATGTGGCTTAGTCCATCAGCATCTTATTCTGGGTAATAAAAAATAAAAATAAATGGATACCTGTTTTCCACTGCTAAAACTGAAGCACCACTGTGAGCAACAGGAGAGGGAGAGGAGCCCGAGACGGAGCGAGCGCCCACGCTGGCCCTCGGCGAGGAGAAGGAGTCGGGAGCGCGGCGGGTGGGCCCGCGGAGCCGCCGTGCCGTCAGCCGCTCAGGAGGCCACGCTCGCGTCCACACCTGGGCCTGCGACCGGGGCGGAGGGAGGAAGACCCTCGTCTCAGAGTAGCCCTTTCCTCTGTTCTTTTTCTTTCTTTTTCTCTTTTATTGAAAGGGGACTACGTTTTAGCAGGAAAAACTTCACGTTTCTGTGCTGAGCAGGCTCCTTGCAGGCGGCTGTGCCGGGCAGCCCGGGAAGTGCGAGTTCTGTCCATGCAGCTGAAACTGCCGTGGCCTTGCTGCCTGTGTTCTAAGAGGGTTTTCATTTAAAGAAAATAACGGTGTTTGGGGTTTTTGTTTTGTTTGTTTTTCTTTTCTTTCTTTTTTTTTTTTTTTTAAGATTCTTTCAAAGGAGTACTGAAAATATACTTTCCTGAGTTTGTCTCTCAAATCTTAGTGGTGGACCTGGGAGATGGAAGAGGCTTCCAGAAATGAAGTTTAAACACGCCATCACAGCCTGAGATTAGGATCAACACGTGTGAGGCGATCTGAGGAGGATTTTAGTTTGTTTTAGCTTCCAGCATCTTCTCCCTGTGTATCAGGGCGCTGAGGGAGCCCGCTCCGGCAGTGGCTTCAGGCCTCCACTGGACTCTGCGAAGCAACGTGCTTCCTACGCGCGGTGGACTCAGCCCCAGGAGGGCCCAGGCAGGACTGGCTGTGAGGCCAGAGGGCAGGAGGCCAGTTCTCCAGGGTCCTTTCCAAGGATTTGGCAGAGAGCAGCCACCAAGAGGGCTGTCCCTGGGGAGGTGCCACAGTTTGGTGGTCACCAGATACCCAGAGAGCCCTCCACTCCTTGTTCACCCTGCCCCCCAAGTTTGGACCCCTCTGCCTGCGGACTGGACACAACTTTCATGAGGGGGATGGTTGCTGGTTTTTTGAGGAAAAGAAATGTTTCTGGAATGAGATGCTTCTGTGCAGGAGGAGCTTGTAATTGGTCACACCAGCTGGGCCCGGGCATCTGGGGGTCTGGTTCTGGTGGCTACACCATGCTTTTTTCTCCTTGACGACCACCTGGTTGGGACAGTGACCCTGCAGCCCCCCTCCCCTTGTGGCTGACACTGTCCCTTATCCCAAAACCTTCAAAGCCCAGCTTGTACCTGGGCAGGTGGGACACAGCCACCTTCCTTCTGGCCAGGATATTCCATCGCTGTAGGGCTGTGGCAGTTTGGTAGGCTGCATAGAGGCACAGAGTGTGGTTTCTGCTATGACACTTGTGCCATGCACCCGGGGGCGCTGCCTGTGCCCCTGCCCTGTTCCTTGGAATGCTTTGCCTCGCCTTGTGCCGATTGCCTGTCCACCTTCCTAGCAGCGGGTACTCTTTTTAAGTTTCTGGACCGAGGAGCATCTGTACCAAGGCAATGTAACTTGACTTTTGGTCAATTTGTTTTAAGCTCTTTTGTCACCAATAAAATCTTAATAAACAGCTCTTGCATTCACACTGGGGCTGGATAAATGACAGGAGGGGGCCGGGTTGCAGGGTGCGGGACTTGGGAGTCACTTGGAAAACAGCCATGAGTCAAAGAGGTGGTGGGTGTCAGGTGGGAACAGCGCCTAAAGTCCCCTGTGTTGGGTATGGGGAGATCTGGAGGTGGGCTCTAGGAACTCAACCCTGGCGGGGTGGACAGGGTGTCACTTGGAGAGCTGGCAGCCCGTGGTGGAGACAGCCCCTTCCTCCACCCACACCCAGGTGACGAGATCAAGGAGGCTAGACGGACCAGGGTGTTTATTGTGGGTCTGACCCTTGCCAGCTCAGCGGCAGCCGCACTCATCCACCACCATGTCTTCGTAGTGCCGGAGCACCACGTTGTCGCTGTTGTCGAAGAAGAGCACGGAGATGGGTGACAGGCGTGCGGGCACGCAGCAGGGCAGGTCATGGGCCCCCGGAGCAGCCGCGTGCATAAGGGCGCGCAGCACGGCATGGTTGAGCGGGGGCGGCCCATCGGGCCCGGGCAGCACCGCTGGCAGTGTGCACTGGCCCTGGCAGTAGTTGGCCAGGAAGCCGCGCGGCGCGATGACCCAGCGGTGCCAACCCACCTCGCGGAAGCTCACATAGAGCCGTCTAGCGCGACACACGCCCCCGGGGCCACCGCCCACCGCGGGCTCGGCCTGGCGCCGCGGCCGAGCCAGCGGATGGCACAGGCGGGGATCCAGGGTCACCAGCAGCAGCGAGGCCTCAGCTAGGCGCGCGCAGGCGGCAGGGGTCCGGGGCTGCAGCGCCAGCGTTAGGCGGAGGCTGCTCGGCGCCGAGGCGTTGAGGGCCCAGGCGGCGCCCAGCAACTCGGTGCGCACAGGTGGCCCCAGCGCGTCCACCGCCTGACGGAGCAAGACCGGCCGGGGGCCCGCGCCCGCCGCCTCGCCCGCCCGCGCCACGCTCAATTCCCAGCCGCCCGCCACCTCGGTGTCCGCCGCTGCGAAGCGCAGTTCCAGGCGCGCCCGGCTAGCGCGCTCGGCGGGTTCCACAGCCGACAGGTCGAAGATGACGGTCCATTCGGGGCACTGCCCCGCGGCCGGGGAGAGTTCGGGGGGCCGAGCGGCCGCACCTGGGGAGGCAGGGAAAGACTCGGCTCGCGCGGCATCCCACACGGGGGCTGCGTTTGGACGCCAGAGGATGTCCGTTGGGGACAGGAGTCGGGGGTGAGGGAAGGGGGTGCACCATCTGTTAGGAGGCGTCAAATGGTGTGAAGCGACCGAGGTGAGAGATGGGGCGGGGGTAGGCGGTCGCTCGCGAAGAGGCCCTTGCCCAGAAAGGCTGGGGACATGCAAGAGGGGAAGGGGTGAGCGAGCACCTGGGGCCCGTGGGGAAGGATGCCGGGGGCGGAGTGGGATCTGCAGGAAGGCATCAAATGGTGTGAATTGGTGGGGGCTGGGGGTTGGGGGCAGGGTTTCGGCAGCAAGCACGGGGGCTGCCTTCTCAGGATTACTCGGGGTTCTGCAGGTGTCCGCCGCGAGCAGCGAGTTTGGAGTGGAGACCCAGGTTGCACACGCACTGGCCCGGGTGCGCTGGGGCCCCTGGAGCAGCTCGGGTCTGTCCCACGCAGCGCCCAACGGGGTCTCGACCTCCGGCATCCACAACCCAACTCACCTCGGTCCGGGACGTGGCGCACGATGTTTCCGGCGACCCCCAGCTCTTCCACGTGGCAGGGTCGGAGGGTGGCCCCCGGGGAGGTCCGCCGCAGGCTCACCCTGGCCTCCTGAGGGTCCCGGCGGCGAAACAGGCGCCACATGACGGGAGGTACCGGCCGGGGCTTGGGGGCACCTCGGGGTGTGTCGCGCAGCCCGAGAGCCTGGAGCAGGGCGGCGGCGGGTCCGGGGGGCGCCGGGGCGAGGGCCGGGGGCGCCAATGGCAGCAGCAGGGCCAGGAGGAGGAGGACGCGTCGGCCGACGCGGCCAGGCGCGGGCATCTTCCTCTCGGGAGGCGGCCGGAGGAGTGCGGGAGCGCCGCGGGGGCCCCTCGCGCCGGGGGCCGGGGGCGGGGCCGGGGCCGGAGGGTCAGGTTCCCGGGGCGGGGCCTGGGGGGAGGTGACAGGGAAAGGTCAGAGCCCGCGAGGGACGGAGGTGGCCTGGGCCGGGCTCCCGGGTCGAGAAGATCTTGGCCGGCGCCCCCGGGGGTGTCGTGGTTGATCCGGGACTCAGGGGGGCGGGGCTGGGGGCGATGGGTTCAAAAGAGCTTGTCCTTCACCAGCCCGTTCCTCGGCGGTTTCCTGCAGGCCAGAGCGGGGCCCAGTGAGGCATGGGGGTGTGTCCTCCCCCGACACCGCTTGCCCTCCCCATCTCCTCCCAGCCGGGCGCCTGCCTCGCCTCGCCCTTTCCTCCTCCATTTTCCCGCTCCTACCCTAACATCCTGCTGACCACTGGAGGACACAGCGTCCCTGCTTCTCCCCTCCCCCCTTTCTTGCTCCCTTGGACCACCCGCGGCTGCTGGAAGGCCGCAGGGCCCACCAACCCACACCTGACTAGCCCCTGGGTAAAGAGGCCCTTTATCCTCCTCCTCTGGCCAGAGCCCCTGCCACCAGGACCGCCCGCCGGGACTGCTTAGTCCTTGCTCCAGTGGCCTGGACCAGCTCACGGGGCAACCAGGAAAGGCCCTGAGTCTCTGACCACTGTCCTCTGTCCTGTCACATCTGCTATGGCGCCTGCTTTCCCTCCCCTTGTTCTTAAAACAAGGTATGCAGTGTTTTAAATCTCTTATCAATACATTAAGTGTCCAGTTTAAGATCCCAGAGAAAGGTTCCCAACTTTTAAACAATGTGCCAGGGGCCTCCCTGGTGGCACAAGGGGTTAAGCACAGCACTATGAAGCTATTCACAGCCTCTGCAGCACAAGTTTGATCCCCCAGCTGGCCAGGGAGCTACCCACATGGTGCAACGGACCCCTCCTGGCTCCCCCGCTGCTCCCCTCAGCAGTGTATTTCAGTCAGTCTGCCTGCTCTGTTCCCCACTCTGTCTCTGGTGAATCCTCTCACCCTATGTACCTCTGGCCTGTACCCCAGTTCTTGCATGCATAAATAAATCTTTAAAAATAAATAAAAAGTAAATAATGTGCCCGGTTTAGGTATTCCAAACTTCTCTAAAGATGTCTCCTGCACTTCATGTTTCCGAAAAAAAAAAAACCCACTCCCTCACTGGCGATCGCTCCACATATGCACGACCGCTCTCCACAAATTCCATCATTGCTGCATGAATTAGTGACACTCTGTTTCCCAGATGGGACTGGACCCGGGCGCCAGGGGTCTGCCCAGGCCCATGAGACTGGACGGACAGGGCTTTTTTCTGTCCTGTCCTGGCTGCCTTTGCCAACATTGGTGCAGAGTCCCATCCTGTTTAATGGGCCCCTGTGGTGCCTAGACACATGTCACTGCAACCCCACTGTCATGGCTACTGGCCCATCCCTGTTCCCTTTTATGGAAACTCTTCATGCCTCTGCACATGTTCTGCTTCCCTGTAGACACGGGCTCTACAGCTGAACTTACACATTCCTAAGCTGGCAAAACAGTCTCACCACCTAGACGTTGCTGCTGAGGGTCGAGCGTGGGTCTTGCTGCGGTGCCGCCTTACAGCTCAGGCAGAGCACAGGACTGTCCCCCGCCCTTCTGCTTTGCCCAATACTCAGGCTCAGTCACCCTTTGATGGAAAAAAGGAAAGCTTTCCTGGAGGACATGATCTGGTCACTCTAACTCCCTTTTTTCTTGGGCTGGGGCCAAATGGACACTCCTTCCTGAATAGGCGCAGCCACTTCTCCAGGGTTGTGGCTCTTTCTCCCGCCACCACCAGCGGGAGCCCTTTATCTGTGAGGTCAGTGATAAGCCCTCCCATCTGTCTTTCGTCCTCTGTCTCTGCCTGTGGCCAAATTAATCTTCCTTTCCCAGCGTCCTCCTTCTCCAGGTTGAATGAATTGCTAGATGACATGCTCCCCGGCTGGCTCACACTTTGCAGGGAGGAGGCTGCCCACAGGTGGGGGGGGGTGCTCTGATGTCGCACACATATTTGCTCTTTCCTCCATGAGCTCACGTGTCCCGCATGTTCTGATAGCTCTTCCCTTCCAGGATCTTCATCACTTGCTAAAGTTTGATGAGCTCCGGTCTACTGTATTTATGGACTCCTGTCTATTTCCAGGTGGTTTTAATTTCTACGTTTTTACAGGAAATTCAGCACCTTGAAGGATGGGTATCCTGCCTGTGTCTTTTTTTTTTTTTTTTTTTTTATAGAGGCATGTTTTATTTATTTATTTTGTTTGTTTGTTTGTTTTGTTTATACATGCACTGGGTACAGTCAGAAGCGCGGGAGGGTGAGAGAATTCACCAGAGCCAGAGCGGGGAGCAGAGCAGGCAGAAGGACCGAAGTACACTGCTGAGGGGAGCAGCGGGCGGCAGGAGAGGTCTGTGCGCCATGTGGGATCCTCCGCCGGTGGCCGGGAAGCAGCCGGGGATCGAACCGGCGCCGCAGAGGCCGCGGGCAGCTTCGCAACCCAGCGCTCAACCGCTGCGCCACCGGGGAGGCCCTGCCTGTGTCTTTTTATGTTTCCAGAGGACCCCACAAGTTTCCAAGATCTCCTCCTCCCTCGAAACAGCCTTACTGTTTTTTGTTGGTTTTTTGTTTTGTTTTTTGCCGGGGGAGTACCCAATTCGGATGAGAGGGCCTAGACATTCGGCTTCTGATTTACACTGTTCACGTCCCTGCATCACTGCAGGGAAAGACTGCTGTGAGGATGGAGGGGTGGAGGGGGTGGAGGTGAGGGCAGGCGGCTGACTCAGGGTTATGGATGTTTTCCTGAAGATAAGAGGGGGCTCCCTAGGGTTTTGCAAGGTCTTCGCCTGGGTTACCACCAACTTCAATGGACAAATGTCAGCAGAGGGGGTTTGGGATGGGGAAGGGGCTGGTTTGGTACATTTTAGAGGACGCCTGGAATGCCGCTGACACTGGAGACAGGATGGTGTTGGGGAGCACTATGGACCTGAATAGGGCCTTGGAAGTTGTGAAGTGGAAGGGGTGAGGGGCAGGCGGACCAGCAACTGCCTGAGGTGCACTGGGTTGGGTCAGGGATTTCTCTGGTGGTGGTGGAGGGGGGGTGATGAAAATCTCCAGCTGGCAGTGGTGATGGCTGCACAACTCTGAGAATGGATTAAAAACGCTGCATTAGACATGGTAGATGGACAAAGTGTATGATACGTGGAGTCTCTCAGAATAAAGCTGTGAGCAACAAGAAAAGAGAAGGCTGGGACCCCTGGGTTTAGAAGAAAAGAGGCCTTGGTGGGGCCAGATGGGCAAGGTGTCAGGGTAGTGGGCATGGGGAGCATTCAAGAGAGGAGGGGAATGGTCTACTGCAAGGAAGAAGCTGGAGGCAGAGGTGAAGGGGGGAGTCTCTCCTGACTGGAACTGCCAGGAACAGACCAGAGAGTCGGCCATGAGTGGGACAGCGGCCTGGAAGGAGAGGGGCTACCTACTGAGGTGACTGGCTGGTGGGAGAGTAGCTGTCCTTTCAGACTGCTATCCTGGGGACATGTTGGTCAAGGAGACGGTGGGGAGGACAGCTGGCGTCAAGGAGGAAGGACAGTCCCAGGAGAGCCGGCGTGCTGGGCTGCCTTGTCCTCATGCAACCCATCAGGTGGGGCTGTGCTCAGTGAGAGCCAGTTCTTCAGACTCAGGGGCAGTGGTGTGCGAGCAGAGGTAGAGCAGAGGATGGAGCAAGGGATGGGGAATCATCAGGCCAGGCAGTGGAGCCAGAGGTGGTGCGTGTCTGTCCGCAGATGGTGGCCTCAGAAGCCCACAGAGGACAACAGGCACAGTGGCCAGCCCTGGGGGCTGAAGGCCTGTGTTCAGACGGGTGGTCCACCAGATGACCAGGGGCAACTTCATTGTCCTATAGTATGTTTCCAGACTCTCAGTCATCATTTTCTTCCTGTTTTCAAACCTAACTTTTCACCTCTGTGGTCACTGTGATCCTGTTTCCAAGCTTCCCTACTCCTTGACTTGCTCAATTTTGAGGCATGTTCCTTGTGCTTAAAGAGAACACCAGTTCACTCAGGTTCTGATGAAGGAGTCCTGTCCCGGTGGTTTGAGACTGCATCATGTGAAATGTTCCAGATTAAGAATTACAGCTGATGTCTCTTCCTGTCTGTTTACTTGCAACTCTACATGCCCTGGAGTTTCTTAACCAGCACAGAGACAGGGTATTTTAAAAACCTAATTTCTAATAGGCATGACTATTCCATGTTGTGGATGCTCAATACTCGAGATTACCTTTCCTGCTTTAGATTTCTTCCCCTTGCCTTTTATTTTGTTGTACCTGTTCTAATTTCTCCTTTCTATACCCCATCAGTTTTAGCATAAGTAACAGCCTAAAGGCAGTCCTTACCTTCTTATAACATGCAAGCCCCCAGTCCTGTTTGATAATATTTAATATTCAAAAACAATAAGTAGGGGCCTTCCTGGTGGCGCAGGGGATTGGGATGCAACCTATGAAGCTGTCCGCAACCTCTGCAGTACGAGATGGATCTCCGGCCGGTCAGGGAGCAACCCACATGGCGCGGCAGACCTCTCCTGACTTGCCCTCTGCTCCCCTCAGCAGTGTACTTCGGTCAATCTGCCTGTTCTGCTCCCCTCTCTGTTTCTGTTGAGTCCTCTCACCCCCCACACCTCTGGCCTGAACCCCAGCTCTTGTATACATAAATAAATAATATCTTTAAAAAAAAAAACCACTAAGTATTTTTGATAATACTTCACAATACTTTAAAAAAACTTCTCCAATTAGGCAATTAAAATTCTTATCCAGATATGTGTCAATTTCTCTGCTGGATCTACCTCTTGGGAGTGTCCTTATTTCCTGAAATATACTGTACAGTAGATCTGTGGTGGTAACTTTCTTAGTTGCTAAGCCTGTTTCTCTTGAGTAATTGTTTTTAAAATTGTGTACAAAATTCCCTGCTGCCAGTGGCTATAGCTTCGGCACTGGAGATGCTGCTTGACCCCGCAGTTCCTGTGTCTCCCATGGATGCTCGTCTGTCATGGTCTTGTGGGTCCTCTTTTCTGTGGTTGTTTCCCCATTTTCACTATGATGTTTGAGGACAAGCTGCCTTTTTACTCATCTTATAATTTGCGTCTTGTCACTTTTTGGAAAATGCTCAGCATAATCTATTCTCCTCATTAGAATGAAATCATGTAATTATGTCTCCTGTTAGAGCACAGTTAGACCAGATAGTTCTTAGACTTCTGCTTTCCTATTTTCCATCTGTTTAGGCTGAATTCTGGGTCATTTCTTCACAGCCTTCATTTAATTTGCTCATTCTCTCTTCTACTGTATCTAATTGTTTGAGTCTTAGCATCTGTGGTAGGTTGAATGGTGGACCCCCAAAAGATTTGTTCATCTGAATGTGACTTTTATTTGATAAAAGCATCTTTGCACATATAATGAAGCAAAGGAATTCGGGATGATCAAGCTAGAGTTAGGGTATACTCTAAATCCAATGACAAGTATCCTTATAAGAGAGAAGAGGGAGAGAAGCCATGTGAAGATAGAGGCAGAGATTGGGGTGATACCAAGGACGTCTCGAGCCCCTGGAAGATGGTGGAGACAAGGAAGAGCCTTGGGAAGAAAAACTGCCCTGCTGAACAAAACCACAGGCTTTACTTGGATTTCACCTGACTTCAGATTTCTGGCCTCCAAAACTGTGAGAGAATAAATTCCTATCGTTTTAAGGCACCCAGTTTGTAGTACTTTGTTACAGCAGCCCCAGGAGGCTAATCTAACATCCAGTGCTGGTTTTGAAGGTCTCTCCTATCTTTTATTTTTTAAATAATCTTTTCATTTTAAAGTAACTTTAGGTATGCAGAGAGGGCACAAAGATAGTACAGAGAGCTCCCACAGAGCCCTTACTAGCCTCCCCTGACGTCAGCATCTCACAGCTCCAAGGAACAGGGTTTCAACTAGGGACCACCCCAGTATTTCACTATTGACCGAATGGCAGACTTTACTTAGCTTCCACAGTTTTTCCACAGGCACCCTTTTCTAATCCAGGACCCCACTCTGCATTCAGTGGTCTTGGTCTCCTCTGATCTGGGAGGTGCCGCTGCCTGACTGTTTTCCACGGCCTAACGGAGTCAAGTGTCCTGATCAGCTCTTTTGTAGTGTGTGCCTCCACCTCATTGTTTTTTACACCACCCAGTTTCAGACCCAGCTGTCCCTGGGGGCTATGGCGCCACAGGGCTGATAGTGGCAGAGTGCTCCCCAATAAGCTGTCTTCACAGCAGAAATGCCATTGCTCGGAGCTGGGTTACCCCAGCCCACAGGCAAGCTGGGTGTTCTCTGGGGAGGTAGAGCAGGCAGCGGCACTGGGCAGCGTGAGGTCTGGCCTGTCTCTGCCTTGGGCTCAGCTCTTACTGTTCTATAGCAGGGAGATCTTCCAGACTTTAAATTGGGCCAAGCAGGTGCCTCCCACCCCCAGTTGCAGTTCTCTTTAGCTACCGCTTCTTCCAGAAGCCTCTGAGATGGCTCAGACTCAGCGATGAAACCTCATGAATCTCTCTGCAGAATTCCCGACCCACTGAACCTCTAAATCACAAACAGTGTTATAGACCAATGTTACCACAAAAATAAATTAATAAAAATGACCCCTTCCCCAAAAAGAATTCCTGACTCATGTTCCCTGGACATCAATGATCCTACAATCTAGACTCCCAATCCCCCTCCTTAGGCTGCCTCAATGCCCATCTCAGTAACTGCCAGCTTGAGCCAAAATTTGGGGTGGTCTTTGATTCTTACATTTCTGTTTCACCTACATTCAAAGCCTGTCTCCTTAGTTGGGATCTGAACACACACACTTCCTCCTGGCTAAATACCTGATGACACAGATGGTCTCCCTGTGGTCAGCTGGCACCTTGGCACCCCTGCCATCCTGCCTGACCCCTCTTCTCCCTTCCCCAGGCATGGCTTTGGGCCTCACACATTGTGCCTCAGGTCTCATGCCTGGCAGATGTAAAATGCTTCCTTTTACAGGTGACCCCTTACTTACAATTTTTCAATTGTACCATAGCAAGAAAGTGATACACATTCAGTAAAAACCATAGTTTGAAATTTGAGCTTTTCCCAGGCCTGCGAGGCACCACACCATCTCCACTAGTGATTCTGGGCTTTTTTATATGTTACTATAAACTAACGTATAAAAAGGCTTTGCATTAGAGGATTCTGTCCAAATGGTGGCTAATGTCAGTGTTCTGAGCAATTTTAAGATTGGCCAGGCTGAGCTACAATGTTTGGGAGATTAGACGTAGTTAATGCATGTTCCACTTATGCTGCTTTCAATTTATGATGGATTTATCAGGACGTAACATGTATTCGAACTCGAGAAAGCAGAGAGTCCCCCCTCTGCTCAAGAGAGTCCTCCCTTGATCTCAATCTCATCTTTTGATGTTTTAAAAATCTCTGCTCCTCTATGCTCCTCACTGCTGCTTCCAACCCACCTCATGAAGCTCCAAGGCCACTGCTTCTCCCAAACCATGGATGATGCCCCAGAGGTCAAGTGAGAGGCCCACATGTTAGCATCGTTCAGGCTTTCTTGAGCCTCACGTCTCACTGCTGCTCAATCCACTGCTGCTCAACTCCACAGTCCCTTGGGGTACTGCACATGCTTGACCCTTCTGGTCACCCAAACCCTCCTCCATTTGCTCCTGGAGCCTTCTGGGGGGTACTTCTGATACCACCTGACTCTGAGGCTGACAAGTCCCAGGGGCACCACCTTCAGGATGCTCATGAGGCCCCTTTTTTCTCCTTCCTAGAATTCTCCCCTGAGCTGTACTGGGTCTGAGACTCCAGTCCCATCTCCTGCCTCACTGATGCGTGGGCTGCCCTACTAGACCTCAAGACCAGCTGGACAGAGGTGGGTTACCTGTCACCACTTCCATATACACCAGCTTGGAGATCACTGTCTGGCCTGGCCTGTGGTTGCTCCTCGCCACACACCAGCTCTCGCTTACTCCAACCATGCCAGCACTAGGCCTGCCCCTCACCACTCCCAGTGCAGAGACCCTGATTCTCTCCATTCACAGCTTTGCCCCCAGCCCAGACCTTTCTACTCACTTCCTTGCTGTCTGTCCTACACATCTAATTCTGTTGCTCCACCATCTACCTTAATTGTAGTCTCTGTTCTGGATGCAGGCACAGGGTGAGGGGAGCACCATCCGTGTCGCCTCATCTGCTGCCCTGTTACATGTTCAGTGCCTGCCCACAGCACACTCAGGTAGAAGGATGATGGACAGACAGAAGAGGCGGCTAAAGGAATGGACCTGGGGCTATGGCCCCGCACACTCACTCAGCTTTGCTGGGCTTGGGGCTTGGAGCCTCTGCAGAGTCGTAGTCCCGCACATCCTTAAGTTCATTCATCTGGCCCGTCAGCACCTTGGCGGCAAAAGCCACGATGTACTGTGGGAGGGGAAGGCACAGGTAAGCTGGGGAGCCCTCATCAGCTGCCCTCCTAATGGCTGTGTGTGCCTTTGCACATGCTATTTTGTTGCCTAATATGCCCCTCCTCCCTGGGTGAACCTGAGATGGCCTGCACCTAGCCCACTGAGAGCCTGGGGAGAGGGACTGAGGAGGAGCAGGTGGCCTGGAGTTATGGGGCAGCTCACTTACCAGGAACCAGTAGAGGTTCATGAGGGTGAGCAACAGCAAGAGTGCATTAAAGAAGAAATAGAAGGGGATGTCAGGCACTGAGCGCAGGCTGCAGTGGCACGTGGCATAAAGGACCTTGAGTGGAAACCAGTAGAGGCGGAACCAGAACCTGTGAGGAGAGAGGCCGATCAGCGAGGTTGGCCCCACTCAGCCCTGTCCCATCCACCTGTCAACAAACACCCTTGTTCTGTTGTCCCATCCTTGCCCACCTCTCCCCATCTGTCTTCATTCCTGCGTCATCCCTTCCAGCTCAACCTGAGCCTCTTCTCGCCCAGGCCCTCCCATCCCCCGACTGCCCCACCCACCTCACCAAGACCAAGACCTCCTTCCCCATGCCCCTGCCCACCTCTACCCGCCCCCACTGCTCCTGCCAGTTCCACGGGCTCACCAGCTAAGGCTGAAGCTGACGCACCCCAGGTCCGCCACCAGCGCATGCAGGCGGTAAGTGGAGCCGCCTCGGGACTTGAAGTAGACGTTGAGCTTGGTGAACTCCAGCTGCACATCACTGATGTCATGCAGGAAGAGCACAAGGATGCCTACGTTGTGATACCTGGGCGGGGAGAGAAGAGACTGAAGGGGTCACACTGGAGACCCTTTCCCTGCACTGAAGCCCTAGCACAGGCCCTCTCTGCTATGGTTCCAGGCTTCCGGTGGCCCTGCCCATCCCACTCGGCAGGGCCAGTAATCAAGAACTAGGCCTTACTAGCTCCCAGACACCCCAGTCCAACAGATCCTGTCCCACCCCACCTCACTATCCACAGGGGACCCAGAATACTCCCTAGAAGTTCCTTCTCTGTCCCGCATTTCTGTGACCTCTGATCCCTCCATGACACCTGATCCTCACAGGCCTGGATCATTCTGTGTCCGGATCCACCAAGTCAAGCATTCATTCCTACAGTGAACCTCATTGCTGAGGTGACATTCCCAGGTTTATACACTTAACATGAGCTGCAAACTGTAGACTTACCTCAAAAAGGCCTGGGGCCGGGGGCCTCTCTGGTGGCACAAGGGATTAAGATGCAACCTATGAAGCTATCTGCAGCCACTGCAGCACGAGTTCGATCCCTGGCCAGGGAGCTACCCACATGGCACAGCAGACCTCTCCTGTCTCACCCGCTGCTCCCCTCAGCAGTGTATTTCAGTCAGTCCGCCTGTTCTGTTCCCCACCCTGTCTCTGGTGAATTCTCTCACCCCCAGGCCCCCACCTCGCACCTCTGGCCTACACCCCAGTTCTTCTACACACACACACACACACAAGACCACGGTCAGAGGCCGCCATAGTCCCTCTGGTCCCACCTCACAGCCACTTGGGCCAAGGGGCCTGAGTCATACTTGGTCTTACCCTATAAATCTTTCTCACCAGGTCTCCAGCCCCTCCCTGCCCCCAACCACTGCCATCTGTCACTGCCCTTTGCATGTGCTGTCCCACAGCCTGATAAGCACCTCCAGCCATTCAAGGTCTCCTTCGCTGCCTTTCTACCTGCTGTCCTCACCCTCCCTACACCTCCCCACCTACGCATCTAACCCACATCTGCCACCCACTCCCCCGCATCCCTGCAGTCTTCCAACTTGATTCCTCTTCAGAGAATCACCTTCAAACTGTTACTTCTTCCTTCATGTTCTTATCATCTGATTTTATCCTCCAGAGGACTGACATTCAATAGAAGTTTCTAGAATGATGGGAAATGTCCAATATAGGTGCCTCCAGTCACATGTGGTCAAAGAGCAGCCTGAATGTGGCTAACAAACAGAAGACGTGAATTTCTTCAAGTATAATTCAAATTGAATTAGTCACCTGTGACTGGCAACTGCTACACTGGCGCCTATGGCTGGAGCAGCCAGGGCAATGGAAGAACACGTGCCCTTTATGTCATGCTAGATCTTTTTTTTTTTTTTTAAAGATGTTTATTTATGTATAAAAGAACTGGGCTGTAGGCTAGAGGCACGGGGGGCAGGCTGAGAGGATTCACCAGAGACAGAGTGGGGAGCAGAACAGGCGGATGGACTGAAATACACTGCTGAGGGGAACAGTGGGCGAGTCAGGAGAGGTCTGCTATGCCATGTGGGTTGCTCCCTGGCTGGCCGGGGATCGAACTCGTGCTGCAGTGGCTGCAGACAGCTTCATAGTACTGAGACTTAACCCCTTGCACCACCAGGGATGCCCCCATGTTAGATCTATTACCAGTCTTGTTTTTATGAAAAGAGGAAGAGGCAAAGTTAAAGTTAATGCTATATTCTAATTAACTCACTAAGTCTGAGATATGGTCATTTCAAATTGCAACCACTACAGCGAAAGGGCTGCTTTGCCTCTGGCCGGGGTGGCTCTGCAGATAGCAAGCACACTGACGCCTGCACGTATTCAGGCAGAAGCACTAGGGGTCCCACATGCCAGCTGCAGCGGGCTAGACCATGCCCAGTCTGTCTGTTGTGTTCAAGGCAGTACCCCTGCCAGAGCTGTGCATGGCTGATAGCAGTGAGCATGTGCCAAGTGGCACCCAAGGGGGCTGTCCAGGCAGGACTGGGTGGGGTATGGCAGGGCTCTTACCCCATTGCTCCAGTATCGCTCACCAGAATCCTCCCAATGAAATCCCCATGTCCCTGCGCCCCAGACACTGGCCTCCGCCCCATGCTGTGCCCTCTCCCCCACCTCACCCTACCCCTCCCAGTCCCCTCCTGAACTCACCGGAAGGCATAGGAGGAGACGATGAGGACCAGGGTGACCACGTGGTGGATGAGCATGACCACGGAGTCCTTGCGCCAGGCATCCATGTACAGCGTAGCATAGATGGAATGACCATAGAAGCTTCCCTGCAGCAGGTAGGCGACTGCAATGTCCCGTGGTACCGCCATGCCTGACGTCCAGTCTGGGGAGAGCCAGACTGAGCTGTCGGGGACCCCCAGGAGGCCCCATAAGCCCCCTCAAGCCAGGCCAGCACCCTCCTCATGCTGGGCATGCCATGCATCTCTGCAGGTGTACTGAGTAGTGGCTCTCCTGTCCCAATTATTTTGTACGAATAGAGCAGTTTTAGATTTGTTAAAAAAAAAAAAATGGTGAAGGTGCTCCTGGTCCAAAACCAGTCCCTTGCAGGATTTCCAACTCTTGCCAGCCCCTCTCATTGTCTTAACTTACCAGGTTCCTTCAAACCAGCTGGGATCTCAGTCCTGGCAAGCCTTCACCCTATGGAAGCCGCCACCCTCCTCCCCCTCCTCTGAATGCAGCCCTGCCAAAGACTGGGCCCTGTTACCCTATCCTGCCTCTGCAGCCTGTGTTCACCCACACTTAGGCTTCCCAGCTGACATCTGCCCCTCCAACACCTCCTCCCCCAGCTCATACCAACACAGAACTCACTGGATTATACCCTGCTCTTCAATGACTCCTTCCCTGCCCACCTTCCAAATCCATACTTCCCGGGCTCCATCCTGGGTCTCCCGACACCCCACGCACCCCTCGTCTAGAGCCAGACACTCCCTGGAGCCCAACTGCTTCCAGAAGGCTCTAGTTCCCCCACCTCAGTAATGACCCTTCACCTGTGCCCTGCCCTCCTGCAACCAGGATGCACTTGGACACCCATCAGGACTTCTCTTCCATCCATTCCTCACTGCCCCCAGCCCAGTCCTGACAAGGCCACCTCCCATGCAGCGCTGCCCTGACTCCTCCCAGCCTCCAGAATGGGATCCTGATCATCCACTCTCCTCTGGTTGGCCTCCATGCTGTGAATATGCAAACCCAGTCCCAGGAATGTGCCCCAGGGAACTGAACACAAGGACTCAGGGTAAGTGTCCACAGGAGGGGCCTCCTTGGTGGCTCAAGGGGTTATGACACAACCTATGAAGCTATCCACAGCCACTGCAGCACGAGTTTGATCCCCGGCCAGGGAGATTCCCACATGGCGCAGTAGACCTCTCCTGTCTCGCCTGCTGCTCCCCTCAGCAGTGTACTTCGGTCAATTTGCCTGTTCTGTTCCCCACTCTGTCTCTGGTAAGTCTTCTCACCCTCCATACCTCTGGCCTGTACCCCAGTTCTTGTATGCATTAATAAATAAATCTCTAAAAAAAAAAACAACAACAAAGTGTCCAAAGGAGAATTGGTGACATTCGCCAAGAGGAGGAACCATCTAAATGTTCATCAGCTGATAAAGGATAAACGGCGTGTTTATCCATCCACATGGTGGAGTATCACTCAGCCATGAAAAGGAGGGAAACCCTGACACACACTCCAACATGGATGAACTGAAAACATAATGCTGAGAGAGAGACCAGACACAAAAGGCCACACTGTATGATCCATGGATATGAAATGTCCAGAGCAGGCAAATCCACAGACAGAAAGCAGATGAGTGGTTGTCAGGGGCTAGGGAAAGGGATGGTGAGTGCTGTTCATGGGTAGGGGGAGTCTTCCTTTGGATTCATGGAACGTTCTGGAACTAGATAGAGCTGGTGGTGTGTACGGTTTGTGAATGTGCTAAATGCCACTTACATATTGTAAAATGGGGGGTATATTAAAACCGTGGCAAAAATACATAATATCATACATATATAGAAATAAATACATCATAACCACTTTAAGTTCAACAGCATTAGGATTGTTCACATTGTCATGCAAACATCTCCCGAACTCACACTGTAAAACTGAACCCCCGTCTCCACTCAACACTCACTGCCCCTGCCCCGGCCCCGGCCCCCGCTCCTGCTTTCTGTCTATGATCTGACTCCTCTAGAGACCTCACATGAGTGAGCTCTTGCAGCATTTTTCTTTTGTGACTTGCTAAAATGGCCAATTTCACATTAAGTAAATTTTACCTAATTAGGAAAAAAAATGCAAACATCCCACAAATAAGATCTTGCCCCCTGTCCCCGCTACTTTAACATGTCCAGGTATTCCCCAACGCTGGGCAGCAAAACCCATGCTCATAGTGGGCCCTCCCCAGGTCCTCCTCTGAGCGCCTGGGAATGTGGGAGCATGAAACTGCGAGAATGTGGCCATGGGGCCTCCCTACCCCACCGCACGCCTCCCAAGCCTCCGTTCCTTTTCACGTGGTAGCACCCAGGAGGGGCACGGAGAGGCCTGCGTGGAAATGCAAGACCAATCTCTCTACCCATCGAACTGGCAGGATTGTTACAGTGAGGGAGCACACCCTCCACTCCAGGCCTAGATCTAGGGGTGCATATGATTCACCATGCAGACTGCTCCTCCCTAGGGCACACAGACTCCACCATCCTCTCCACGTTCACTTCGACCTGCTCTGTGGGTGCTCCTGGTTGTCCCGGCTGGTCTCCCTCCCCACTTCCAGGATCTGTCCCCGGGGACCCAGCTCCTGGTCTTCCCTAGACTGGTGTCGCCCCACCCCCTCTTCTCCAGCATGCCCTGCAAAACATCCTCACATCAGCCACTTCTCTCCTCACCTCAGGCACCTCCTGGTCCCATGACTAGGTTTCCTACCTCAGAGTTGCCTTAGGACGTGGGCCGGGGGCCGCTGTGTCAGCACAGGGCCTGACACACAGCAGGTGCCCGCTACATGAGCATGGAGGCAGCGCTGCCTCACCAGCATGTCACCTCGGCATCGGTCACGAGAAGCCAGAGGCAGCTCCGTGCCCAATGCTGCGACTGCAACTCTGGCTCACTCACACAAAGGAAAGTAGAAGGCAGACAGCTATGCCCCCTTTGGGGATCCACCACCGGGAATGCTTGCACGGCCCTACAGGGCAGACAAGTGCCCCGTTTGTCTTGGGACAATGGAGCCCGGTCACCAAGAGCCCTCGGGTTACACATAGGGCAGGACCACTGCAGACCACGCTTTCTAAACCAGCCAGACTCTGCTGACAGACAATACTGCAGTCACCTTCCTGCCCACCCCACCCAGCACTCAGGTCCCAGTGACACCCACATTGAACTCCATCAACACAGTCACTTCTCACCAAATTTATCCTGTCAACCTGGTCCAAACACACAGTCCCTGCCTCCCACCCCAGCCCCCCAACCCTGCTTTCCTCACATCTCCACACGACAGTTGGAGGGTGCTTTTTAGAACCCACAAGCCCAACCTCACCTGTCCCTTGCTGCAACTGATCCTATTCAGAATGGAACTCAAACTCCTGCCACCCTCCTCCTGCCGGCACACCCTACCTGGGGCATGTGTGGGCCTCTTGTACATGCTGATCTCAGCAACTGGTGTGCCCTCTGGACCTACATAAGGGCTCAGCTTCCCCAGGAGGCCTCCTGAGCCAGGTGGCTCCTTTCTTGTCCCCAGGGTCCCTCGATGACCCTGGTCTCTGGGCTGGCTTCATGTTGGCATGAAATGAGTGTCTGGCTCCCCCGAGTACCCTATCTCAGTGTTCAGAGCAGAGCCCTGCCCACCCAGCCTATCCAGAAGGGCCCCTACCGTTGAAAATGGAGGGTGGGTCATGAAAGAAGGGGTAGTCAGTGCCAAAGAGCAGGTAGGCACTGTAGCTCCATGCACCCAGATAGAAGAGGAACTTCCAGGCGCTCTCTGGCATCTTGGCGGCATCTTTAGGCTGAAGGCGGCACCGCTTAGCCAGGGGCTGTGGGCAAGAAAGTGGCAGGCCATCAGCGCTGGGAGCACCAGGGGTGCTCTTAGTAGAGGGGGGACCAAGGCCCGACTCCCTGGGTCAGGCAGTGTTGGGGAGGGTTGCCCAGTACCCACAGCCACCTGGAACGTAACCAGAGCCCATGTGTGCCTGCCAAGGCTAAACTTAGTGTCCAGCTGTCCGGAGACAGCTCAGGGAGGGTAAGAGGGGGTGGAGGGATCTGCAGGGACATGAAGACAGGCTGTGAGCACAAGGAGGGGGATATATGGGCATAAGGCTAGGAAGACCAGAGGGGTCACCCCTGGGAGAGTTGGGGGGGTAGGAGTATCACAGGAGCTGGGGATAGGGTAGGGAAGAGGAAGAGAGGATTAAAGAGAAGATGTGGAGGGGACTATGGGTGAGCCTGTAAACAGTAATATGAGGGCATGTGGGGAGCATGGGGAACAGAACACCAAGTGATCCCCATGGGTAGACATGAGGGAAGGGGTTGCCTCAGAGGAGGAATTTGGGAAGACCAGAGAGGACGATGAGTCTGAGGACAGTGGGACAAGTAGGTAGGGGAGCCAAAGGAGAGAAGAGGGCCAGAAGAGAGAGGGGACCAGGGAGGGAAAAGAGGCCACACAGAGGTGGACATGGACTGCACCTCAAATCTGAGAGGACATCAGGGAGAACATGAGAGAAGTGGGCACAATGGCACTGGGAGGCATGAGGGAATTTGGGAAAGCCAGCACCCATGGGGTTCTGGGGGCAGGGCTTCAATCCCTGGGTTCCAGACTCCAGAGCAGTCAGGATGAGCTGCTTCCCTTCCCCCAGGCTGAAGGCACCCCCAACACCAGGAGTTGCCATAGAGATAGTCGGCTCTGGTAACCCCTGGCAACCAGGCTCCTGCCAAGAAGATGAGCTTGGGAGGTTGCCTGTTTCTTGGGAAGGGCGAGTCTCTTCCCTGGGAATGGTGAACCTGTTTCCTGGTGCTGGGGCCCTGCCTCCACACATTCCATTGACCTTGCTGTGCCCCTGACAGGTCCCTCGGGCATGCTCCCTCTGCCTGGTCATCCAAGAGTGGCCCACCACATCCCCATCCTGGGTTCCGACCTTCCCACTTCCCAGCTGGGAACTGGGATGGTCAGGGGAGCAACAAAGCCAGATTGTGATTATGCTGACCTATGAAGGGGCTCTGTCATGCCTGCTTCCCCTCCCCAGAGCAGGGGGATGGCTGATGTCTCTGTCCCAAGTGAGTGATATGGGGTTGGGGGCGGGGACAATGGCGGCCAGACAACGCCCCATCCCCGATTAACAAGGGCCAGCCTCTTCCTGGACAGCAGAGAAAGGCCCCTTTGTTGGCGCCAGGGCTCTATCCCTGCACCCCCTGCCACCTCCAGCCAGACTGGCCTGGGTGACTCCAGTCCATCCACGGGATAGCTTCGGCCAATCTAAGGGGGGGGGGGCAAAACACAGCAGGGGGCCCCCGAGGTTGGAATGAGGCCAAGCGCCAATGTCACTCCCGCGGTCACCCGGGTTCTGTGGAAGTTGGGCAATTCAGTTTCAGCCCCTTGGAGGCGGCACAGTCCCTCTCCTAAGACTCAGGCCGCGGCACCTCCCCAAGGCTGTGACCACAAGCGTGGCCGGGAGCCCAGGCCACTGCCTCCCCAGGTCGGAGGGCGGCGCTGACCCCAGACAGGCGCGAGGCTGAGACCCGCTGCAGCCACTACCCCACAGCGGCTGAAGAGCCGGCCCCAGGACCTCGAGCCCGCTACGCCCGGCCCGAGGGCGCATGGCGCAGGCGCCCCCTGAGCGCCGAGTCCTCCCCGCCCGTGCCTTCCGCTCCTCAGTTCTGCTTCGGCCCTGCCCAAAAGGGTGCGGGCGGCCCGGGCCCTCACAACGCCCCTGGGCCCCCCGGGCCCGCCTCGACAGGAAAGGGTTATGCCCCAGTTCCTCTCCATCTGCATCACCACCGTGTTGGGGTCGCACGTCCTGGGTTCCCCTCAGTTCGGCCACACCCCCGTAACCACCCCCACCCGCACCGACCAAAAGGGGAGAGCGTGGGCTCGGGATCCCGCGTCCTGGCCTCTCCCGCCTGAGGCTCCCCACCTTCCAGTGGCCCGACTCGTTAAGACGGAAAGGGGCGCAGGGCGGCCCAGGGCCCCCTAATGTCCCTTCCACCCGGCCACCCAGCCCCGGACCCGGGTAGCACTGACCCGAAAGAGGCGCGCGGTGGCCGCGGAGCGCAGCGCAGTCCAGCCCAGCGCACCGAGCGCCAGCAGCAGCAGCTCGGGCGGCGCCAGGTGCGCGTGCTCGGCCAGGCCGCGGCGCGCGAGCCCCCAGCCGCAGTCCGCGCAGCCCCGCGCCGCCGCCAGCGCGCTGCCCCAGCCGCGCTGCACCAGCTGCGCGTAGCTCGGCATGGGCTCGGGCCCCACGGTCTCTGCCTCCGCCATGCAGTCCGCTCGCCGCCGCCCGCCGCCTGTGCCCGCCAGCCGTGGCGGCCGAAGTCCTGCACCCCGCGTCACGCGCCGCAACTGGGCCGGGGGCGCGCGGGCTGGAGCGCGGGGGACGAAGGGGCGGGGCCGACTCAGGCTCCGCCCCCGCGGGGGCGCGGGCGACGGGCACGCGGGGCCCGGACGCGGTGTCGCCGACCTGGGGGCGCGCGGGTGCGGGGTGCGGGGTGCCTCTGAGGCAGCAGCTGATGAGTCCCGGCGTGGTCTCTTTGCCTCCCGGAGGCGGTCGCGTTCGGGCCTGTTTTCCAGCAGGAGAAACCGTGGCGCGGAGCAGCGGCGTGGAGTTGGCCTGTGGAGACCTTGAGCCACCCGGTGGCTCCACCCGGTCTCCGCTCAGGGACGCCCCATACAACCCGGGCCCCCCACCCCACCATGCTGTGTCTGTGCGTGGGCACGTTGGGTTACCAATAAGCAGCACCTTGACTGACCACTCCCTGCTCCTGACCCTCGGGCATGCCTCTCACAGGGCCTCACTGTGGGACCTTACCATTGCCTGGCCCAAGGTCCACCAGCTGCTCTGTGTGATCCTGGGGGCCTGAGGCCTCTCTGCAGCAAGTTAACACAGGTCTGCCTGGAAGGGGAGGGAGTGGGCACCCATGTTGAAGGGGATTCAGGCTGGATGCAGATGCAGCTTCATTGGGACCACACTTCCACTGTCCACTGACCAGACCCTGTGCCCCAAGCTGCAGCCATCACCTTTGCCTTCTAGGAAACCATCCTGGAACACTCGAGGTGCCTGGTGCAGGAGTCAGTGTCAACCTGAAGGGGCCAAAATGTCATCTGGCCAGTAGCCTGACTGGACCTCAGCTGCACAGGTGAAAACAGGAAGGGGACCCTCATCTTTCCTTCCTCACCATTTCTCCAGAACTGCAGCACTCCATGTTGGCTCCCCTTCAAATATTTCCTGATCTTGCCACTTCTCTGCACTTAGACATCCTCATGTGGCCATGGGTAACCTCCTGCCTCCTGCCTGGCATCCCTGCTTTCTCCTTACCCCAAGGAAGTCACATGGAGCCTGCCTTCCTCCTTCACTCACAGCCCTCCATGACTCCCACTGCTGAGTAAAAGCCCAGCCCTTCACTCAGAATCCCACATGACTACCGCCTCCTCTCACCCCCTCTGTTCCATCAACAATGGCCACCTTCATGTTCATCTTACACCTTGCACACGGTCCTGCCTCAGGGCCTGCCTCTTCCTTCTGCTTGGAATGCTGTTCTCCCAGATATGACAGGGCTCCTCCTTCACTAGTTTCAGACTTCACCTGTGTGATCCTGGGGACCTGAGGCCTCTCTGCAGCAAGTTAACACAGGTCTGCCTGGAAGGGGAGGGAGTGGGCACCCATGGTGAGGGGGATTCAGGCTGGATGCAGATGCAGCTTCATTGGGACCACACTTCCACTGTCCACTGACCAGACCCTGTGCCCCAAGCTGCAGCCATCACCTTTGCCTTCTAGGAAACCATCCTGGAACACTCAGTGTGCTTCCCTGATGCCCCCCATCATTCTGCCCTTTGGAAGTCTCCACCTTCCTACTCATTATTTTTGAATGTGTACTGTGTGGGCTGGGGTTTGCAAGGTCCAACTGGAAGCCAGGTGTGACTAATACCAAGGTCAACCTGGGGTGCAGGGTGTTGCTCAGGGGTCCCTGGCTGGCTGAACCTGCTCCCGCAGGTTCCATTGGGCCTGTGGACCAGTCCTGGGTCTTCCCATCCAGCACTATCTGGTTGCCATGACACCCATCAGTAATGGGAGAAGTGCCCTGCCCACTAGCCCCCTGTGCTGGTCCGGCCTCCAGTTTCAATTTGGCAGGTGTATACACAGCAGGGATGGAAAGTGGCTCCTGATGCTGGCAGCTGGGCCTGCAACTCCCAGGCTCATAGGCCCAGCAAGGGCCTACTGAGGTCCCAAGGGTGGCATCCTTTCTGGTCCTACCAGAGATGACAGGCCTCCTGGCTGATTGCATGGCTCCATGACCCTGACCGAGCCCCTGCTACAGTGGGGCCCTTGCCTTATGTCCTGTCCTGGCCAGCAGGGACTGGGGTCCAGGTGTTTTCTATTATCCAGATGATCAAGTCCAGGCCCACACTGGCACAAGGAAAACCACAGCCATGTCCAGCTCAGAGCCAGTGTGACCTCAGGGTCTTTTTTAAAATTTAAATATTTTATTTTATATAATTCTTACATCTTTTTTCATCTTTGCACAATGTATGCATTTTCGTTTTGGTTATATTCCCCATACAATTGCACCCCCCCTTATTTTGACTCTAGTCCTTCCTCTCCCCACCTCCCCCACCGCACCCGCCTCCAGTGTCTCTGGTTTATAGTTGCTTGTTGCTTTTGATTTTTACTTTGTATTGATTAGTTTTTTTCCTGGTCTCTTATTTAGGTTTTTTAAATTCCTGCTCCTCAGGGTCTTTGATGTGTTTGATAGGCTGTTTTTTTCTTGCTGCCCTAGAATGTGTCCTGGCAGCCCCTTGTTTGGTGGACAGTTTGAAGGTCACCTCCTCAAGAGACCAGCTATTGCCCCTCTCCTGCCCACTGACCTCCCGCCTTCATTGTCCAGCTTCCTCTTATCTCTCAGGGCAGGAAGCTCGGTGTGTCCACACAGGAGGTCTCCGTCTTGGCCGATGACTCACCACCTCCAGGCAGCAGTGAGGAGCGAGGGCTAGGGGGCTGACCTCACTCCCAAGAGGACTCTGCATATAACCTTCTCCCCGCCTGGCTGAGCCAAGCCGGAACACCCCCCACCCCTCAGGGTCCTGGGCTTCAATCCTGTGATTGTGATCTCTCTGTACCTATTTACCTGGATGCCAACTGGGCTCGAGGGGCACAGCTGTGCCACCTGCAGCTTAGCAGAACCAGGCAGCCACTTGAGGGTTGGGGTAGTTGGTGTAGCTACTCACAGACCCTGGTCCCCAGGTCCTCTCCCTATCCCAGAACAGCCCAGGGTCACACTACCCAGGACCCTTGTGTCAGTCCTGGTTCCCATGAGCACCACTCCGTCCCAGGTGGCCACAGCACACTTGAATTGGGTGGGTACATTCAGAATGGACATGTTTATTGACAGAAGTGGGACAAAGGGTGAAAAGGGAAGAGTGCTGGCGGGGAAGGCAACATGCCCAGCTTCGCCATCCCACAGCTCGGATTTGGTCAGGCATCTGGGTGGGCTCAGGCACTGGGGGCGTACTGAAGCACCAGTCGGTCAAAGTCGTTTTCCTTCAACAAGGGGGAGGGGATATGAGAGAGAGAGAGTCAGGTGAGTTCCAGGCTGTCCCTTGCCTGGCCTGGGGGGCTGGGCTGGAGACCAACCACTTGCATCGGCTCACCTTGGCCTGGTACTCCTTGATGAAGGGGTGGGACCTGTGAGCGTCCTTCAGCTGGGACAGGTAGCGGTTTGTCACCTGTGGGGGACGCAAGGGTCAATTAGTGAAATATGGGGACCCCCATGTTGGCCCTAAGCTACAGGATAGGGGAGGGAGGCACAAGGGATTCCAGCATATTCCAGGCAGGAGTCCTTGTCTCTCCCATCTCCTCCATCACCCTGGAGGCTCCTCATCCCACCACACCAGGGAATCAGTCTGATGACAGGCCCCTCAGGGTCAGGGAGTCCTGCTGGGAACACTGCCTGGTACAGAGCCCGCACCTGGGACACAGCTGGAGATGGCACTACAGGGTGCCTGGCCCTGGGAGAAGGCAAGGCCCGGGGGGACAGGGCTGAGGTGATGAGTTCTTTCTGGGCACAATATATGGAGGCCCCCTCCCCAAAGCTCTGGTGACTGGTACCTGGGTCCCAGGCAGAGCCCTTGATCCCAGCACAGTCCCCCCAGCCCCTGGTCCTGACGCCATCTGGCTGGCTGTCTCTGAGACAGGGAGTAGATTCTGGGGTGCATTGGAAAGCTGTCCGCCTAGTCCTGGGTCTGCCTGGATGGACTTCTACAAGGGACAAGTAACTGTCATGTGACCCTGGGTGAGCACCTAAGAGCAGAGTCTTTCCTGCAGCGACAGCTCCTCTGAATTCCCTTCCTCAGTCCTGTTGCCCACTCCCCACTGAGGTGCTCACGGGCCTCACCTGCTCATCTGTAGGATCCAAAAGAGCAGCTGAACTGTGATCC